TGGGGTGAATCCAGAAAACTTTAAATATGATGCAACTGAATCAAAATACCACAGGACAGAGAGTGGATCAGATAGCTCACATACAGTAAATGTGGAAAAGAAAAATAACTGCAAGGATGGCATAGATATCTTACAGATGGCGGATGGTAGCATTCTTGATAATAGTAATCAGGGTACATCAAAGGTAGTTTGCCCAAGGGAAGCCATGGCCTATTATGGGGCACTGCTTGGCAACATTCCAAAATCCTACATCTTTAAACCATGGAAGACAGGAGTCTTTTTCAAAAAAGAAGAGATGGGGATTGATCCCTCAATGAAGAATTGTGACAAAGACAACAATGAAAAACAGTGACTCATTTATATGGTTATTGACCTTATGGAAGACAGACTTACCATGTAATGTGTGTCAACATGGTGCAATGTTCAAAACCCTTTGTGACAAAAATTTATAAAAGTAGGAACTGGTTTGGGTTTTGGCAAGTGCAGTCAAAACTGTCACTAGCTGTGAAGTCAAAAAAGGGTAGACTAAAGTTGTGCTTTTTATTATATTACTGAATGTAAATCAACTGATCTAGAAAATCACATGAATCAAAAAATAAAAAAAAAATAGTGTAGTATGGCTGCTCATTTCACTTGTCAAGTGACTGGAAGTGGCTGTAGGTCACCTTGCTGGAGATGATCAGCACTGGCTCGTCAGCTGCTTAACACAAATGGTGGTCTTAAGCATTAGACACTGCAGCCTGATTGATGTAAAAAATGTTAAACAACCTTATTTACCTTACCTCTCTATGGCCAAGTTGAGATTTCCTCTATAAATGGTACTTGGGCAGTAAATTAGCCAGTCGTATTACTAGGCTGTTAGGCTTTACAGTCCTACATCTTTAAACCATGGAAGACAGGAGTCTTTTTCAAAAAAGGAGAGATGGGGATTGATCCCTCACTGAAAAATTGTGACAAAGACAACAATGAAAAACAATGACTCATTTATGTGGTTATTGTCTAATTTTGTGCATGACTGTGAAAGACTACTAAACAACATCAAGTAAAATATTTTCATTTTAATTCTTGAGTTATTTGTCAGTCCTGATGGCTTCTGGGAGATTGTCCAGAGCTTTAAACTTGCAGCTTGAAATGCTCAATGTCCTAAAGTGTGTTTGCTCTGAGCACAAGGGAAGTTGTGATTGCAAATGTCATTCTTTGATTTTTGTCTACAATTTTAAATTGGTTAAATATTTTCTTCATTTAGATGTTAATAGTAACTCATTAAGTAAGCATGAAATTTGTAGGTGTAATAGGTATGATGGCCAAGAAATGAAGCCCTGTAATGAATCATATCATAGCATTCTGAACCCTCTCTCTTTGCAGTTTACTGTTTTCTGTTCACACCTGTCATATCACAGTACAAATTGTTTTGAAAAGTACTCTAATTTGCTTCTGATTAAATAATTTTACTTTTGATGCAAATCAAACCAAGCACTCTTCTCATACTCATGTTAATTGCCAAAGATGAAAAATTCAATAGTTTTTGATGAATAAAGGTTCATAACAAATCATCCAGTATTGAATGTCTTTGATGCATGTTCTCAAGACAACAGTTCCTAATATCTCATCCATGTGCATGTTTTTGGGCTAATTTTGTGTTGGGAAGGAGTTGAGGAAGATAGTTTGCAATGACATTGAAGGGAATCCTACAGCAAACAAGACAAAGAAAGTGACCAAGGCAACCGAGAGAGATATATGCAAACTAATGCTTTAGAGCTGATTCACACGTGCAAACCTCTTGAAACCTTGTTTCTAAGAAGCATTTCAGTCTCTCCTAAGAAAGAGATGTTAACAGAAACTCTATGATCAAACATGTATATCCTTCTGCAATGTGCTCGAATTTCTTATTGGAGAGCAACTTTGTTTGTCATAAGTACAATTATGAATTAAAGCTTCATGTACATTCTATACCTTATTAATTGTGCTTCTTTTTTGCAGGCGCTTGCCAAACCAGGTCTATCAAGAAAAGTGGCGATGAAAAAGTAATGTTACAAACATGTGTTTAGCACCTGTTTCAAATTAGTTATTTTAGGTGGTATATTGTTTCATCTGTTCCTTTAATTTTGTGTGGCAGTATTTAAAAAAATCTCAAGGAGAAAAATGGCCCATTATTAAAAGGTGAATCATCATGACTTGTATTGGCCTTAAAATGTTTGCAGCAAATTGATTACACTGTCAGTAAATATTTATTAATTAAAGTACAAAATTGGAAATCTGTCCTCAATAACCTCAGTAACAGTACAAGGCAAATATGCAAACTGAGTTCTGCAGAGTGCATGCATTTAATGATCCAATCTTTGATATGTTTCTGCACTTTAGGCTTGACTTCATAAGGTAGTTAAACACAGTTTTTCAGTTATTTCCTTATATTTTCAGCTTGGATTTATGGCTCACATGCTTTTAACTCAAGCTATAAATCCAAGCTGGAAAAACTTGGTCCATAACTTACAGTTTGGACCTCAAACTTGGTTAGTAAGAGGTAAATATTTGAAAATGTTGCCATGTATATCAAATTTATATGACTCAATACAAATGCAAAACAGTTGTTAGTCTTCTGATTATCTCATCTGGAGGAGAAATATAATAGAAACATTTGCCTTACCCTGTTGTGTTATTTTGAAGTATAGCAACTAAAGGTTGTTATTACATATGTTTTGTAGCATCAATTGTGCACTACCTAATGAAGTGTTCTTTTTTCTTTTATAGGAGAGAGTTTCATTCAGATCGACACAATATCAATGCCTATGTTGTATTCAAAGAGAGGAAGAGTGCAGTCAAATCTTTAAGCAGGTGTTGATTGAAGTTTTTAACTTAACTTTCTCCATCTGTTGTATAATTCTTCAATTTTTTAATCAATAATATCTCATAAATGTTTAATGAAATTGAGCAGATAGTATATCACTGTTAGGTAAGGAATGATGAAGTTGTCTAACAAAACTTGATGTGCCAAATTCTGTCTTCTTTTTGCCAACAGTAATGGTTTGGAAGTTGGTGGTTTTCACATCAGAGTTGATATAACTGGAAAAGATATTGAGGTATGGTAGAACTATTGCTTATTACCACTTTGTATTTGTCCAATAGATATAATTCTATTCATTATAATCACTGATAATTGTATACCATACTATAGCATGCTCCTACCCACTAGGAGGGCTAAGTTTTTGAAGGAAGACATAAGTTGTAGTCATAAAATGGAATATTAAATCAAATGTAACCTTGGAAAGAATGATCACCTAAAGCAAACACCAGTGGATAGAATGGTAATCCTATGCCAATTTTTTAACTTTATATACATTCTCTTTTTCTTTTTGGTGTCAGCATGATCACACCAGATCAATATTTGTCGGAAATTTACCTTTTGGTGAGTCATCAAAGTCAAGTTATCTTTTTTGGTCAAAGCTCAATATCAAATATTTGTGTGACATTTAAGTTGTAACTTATCACAGATACTACATAGTATTTAGGTTTAATCTATTAATTAGAGAGATATTAATTTATTTAATCTCTGCCCGGGCAATAAATGCAGTTTGTTCCTAGAACAGGGAAGGCTTTCTAATTTCAAAATGTTTAGACTCCATACAGTGTACATTTATTCGGTGTGCTCTCCCTTTTTCAACACTTTTTTATTTTCTTCCTCCTAACAGTGACACCAGAGGGCCATTTTGTTTAAAATATGAGAAATAATCCCAGGGTTTAGTGTTTCATGTTGATATGTAGTAGCATTTTAAAATGGTATAAAAGTTTTTGTTGAGGCCTTAAGCCACTAGGAAGAATAAATAAAATTAAAAACAAGTCTGAGCTGTAGTTGATCCATGGCTTCACCTGGGTTTATGTCATGTTTTGATTTAGTTCTGTTTTTGTTTTCTATACAATTTTACAAGGTAAATTTTCTCACTGTCCTTTTCTGTTCCCTTCTTTTTCATTTTCCTGACACTGAGATAAGATCACAATCCAATACACATTTAAAAAATTAACTGCAATGCAAGTTACAAACCCCCCCCCCCAATCCAGTGTTGTACATTCTTAGAAAATCAAGTGCCACATTATTCAGGAGAAGAACAGGTGGGAGTGCAAAGATTTTGTTGCTGATTGTTGCTTAGCAATTTACGTCACCCACAACAAATCAAAGCCAACTTACCTTGGATTTAGCACTGACTGCTTTTCAAACAACTAGTCTATAGTTACCTTGCCAGAGTCATGTTTCTATTTTTTCAATTTTATTATTACTATTATTATTATTATTTTTATTATAGTTATTTTAATGATCATCATTATGATTATCATCACAAGTATTATTAATATTACCATAATTGTTTCAGAACACTGTTTACAATTACATTTAAAATACTAACTATGATGAACTATTATCATAGTGATATCAGACTGAAAACCCTTTAACTCCCATGGGTGACAGAATTCCTCTTCACAATATTGATACCAAATCAAGGAGATAAGTGATGAGAACCAAGAAAAGTATCAATTAGGGGATTATTAGTTGATCCAATACCAAATTCTCAGATGTAACACCAGAAGACTTGTAGAGTAGACAGTCAGGAGAATTACTCATGACTTCTTGGGAGTTAAAGGGTTAATTATCTGCCACATCATGAGCCTTGACCTATAGTCTTGTATGCTTTGAGGCATTTTGTAAATTTCATTTGTAGATACTGAGGAGGAACCACTGAGGCAAGCCTTCAGTGAATTTGGTGAAATTGAGGGTGTTCGAATTGTTAGGGACAGCAAAACTGGTGCAGGGAAGGGCTTTGGATTCATCCTCTTTAAGGTAAGTAAACCAAGATCAGTCCCACTGTACCTGTCTAGGATACACATCAAACAAAGCCAGCATAATCACAAAATGAACAAGCATTTTGTGTTAAGGTATTTAAGTCAAAGTCCCCTGTACACTTTCACTCAGAATGTTTTTTGTTTTCTTTTCTTTACAGGAAGGAGATGGAGTGATGTTTGCTTTGAGAAGGCATAAAATAGAATTCCAAGGTCGACAGTTACGCATCTTCCCATCCACAGAAAATCCCCATTTAGGTAAATTCATGATATTTATGTCAAGGCAGAGGATGTGTGTGCCCTCTAGGACTAATTCCTGCATCTTACAGAATCCTCACATCCTTAAGGCTTAGAAAAATTGTTTTTGAGTCTCAGTCTCACGCAATTTCCTCTTTGTAACAAAGAAAAGGCTGGGTTTACATATCCAAGTATAGAGCTGGTTGGAGGTTAAATTCAAAAGGCAAATAAATTTATAAAAGGCTGGTAGAAATTGAAATGAATACCCTAAAAAATAGATGAAAAGTAATAAAAAGTAAAAAGTTGTGAAAAGTAACAGCAGCTGGGTTAATTAATTTCCTCTCTTCTTCAGGTCAGTTAAAAAGTGTTAAAAAAGGTAAACCTGTGGCTTATGCATTCAGTGGAATCACCTCCAAGAAATCCACAAGATATGATTGCAGAGGGAAAAAATGCAACAGAGGTCCTGCTAAAAGTTATGCAAACAACAAGAAACAAAGCATAAGAAGTTCAAGAGTCCAAAAAAACGGAAATAAGAAGTTGAAATCATCATGGAATGAAAAAGGAACTGAAAGGGTTCCAAGGTCAAATAACATAAGAAAAAAGAAATATGCAACATTGTAAGACTCTTGGAGTGATGTTTATTTTTTTTTGTCTAATGTTCCAGAAGGGGAAATTTTACATTCAGTAACACACAAAAAGAAAAAAAACTAAAAGATAGTGGTTGAACATATATCCATAGGAATTATTAAAATTGTACATTCCTAATAATAAAAACTATCAGAATAAAATAGTATTCATTACAACCTACCTATTAATTTCCATGCAATTCTATCAAAATCACTGGAAAAGTTATCATGCAATAACACCCACTTGCATCAATATTTGTCTAGTACTGATTATTTTCATAAGAAAAAAACAAAGCCAGCAGAAAAAAGCCTGCTCAAGTGTTGCACTCTTATTTCTTTATTGCTTAAGAAAAACAAACTTATTGTGTAGAATCCAGTGGTAGTGATGATGAAAAGCTCGTCCCAAGTACTGCTACAGAAAGCACAAAAAAGTCAACAAAATTTGCTGTCAATGCATGATACAAAGATTAATAGGAGGGTTATAAAAAAACCTGCTTCACCTAGCAGCTAAATATTCATTTCTCAGACATCATCTCAGTGGCAGACATCAGTTGACATACCAGCTGCCAGAAAGGGGCAAACTTACTAAATATGGCGCTATAAATTGTGCAACTATTTTTCTTGTTTTTCTCAAGTTTTATTGTTTCATGTCTGACTTAAGTACTCATAATTTGTATTCTATTAATGTTGCTACCTAAGAATGTAAATTTTTATTCACTTAAAGTGAGCAGTAGCCTATTTCTGAAGCAGCTATGCTACCCTCACAAGCCCAAACCAATATTTTCAAATTTCAATTTGCTGATTAATATGGCTAACTTATAGCAAACTTACAGAACAATAGTGTATGCAACAAAAACATTCTGTTTACTGTGACTTTTTTTCTGGTACTCATGTATCTGGGCAAATAGGAAGTGAAGAGAAGGGAATAAGTTTCTAAAGAAACTGTAGTGCTATGCACTGGGGGAGTATAACAAGATAATTTTGGTTTTATCAACTGAGTTGATAATGTAAATTGGCCGCCATAAAGTGTTTCAAGGCTGATGTTTTGAGCTTTAGCCCTCCATCAGAACAAATAGAATACAAGAAATATAGGAGGTGAAATATCAAGTTATCAGGGCTGGTGTAGTAAGAAGAGCTAGTATACATCTGTACAGCCAGGGTTAGAATTCCTTCAGCCTATCTCTGTTAAATTTAATGTTTGTATTGCATTGTTTGGTGCTTAAGCGACAAATATTCTGGGTGCCATGTTTCACCAAAACTGAGATTTCTGAATGTTTTTTATTCTTTCTTAGAATCATCAGGATCACTTGTAGAGAACAGAACAGACTGTGGACATTATTGACTTAGATATGAAAGTCATCTTAGCAATAATAAACACTACCTGAGCAGTAATGAAAATAAACCCTGAAAAAGTTAGGCTTGTACTGATTTGAACCCATGACCTCTGCAATACCTATGCATTGCTCTACCAACTTAGCTAACAAGCCAACTGGGAGCTGGTTATAATGTTGGTTCCAGATAAACCGTGAAGTGATGAATAAATGACTGTGAATATATGAACATCATAAATGTGAACTGCAGATAAAGACATGAATATGAAAGCGATCTTCACAGTAATAAAGACTATCTGAGCAGTAGTGAAGAGGTCATGGGTTCAAATCCCATACAGGCCTGAATTTTTTGAGTCCTCATTTTTACAACTGCTCATGAAGTGTTCATTACTGCAAAGATCCCTTTCCTATTCACGTCTTTTTTCACAGTTCACATGTATGATTTTCATATATTCACAGTCGTTATTGACTTAATTATCAATTTATAATAGAGATAATGACATGTACTTACAGTAGGAAATCTCTTTGGTTTTGAAGAGTTGGCCTTACCTTTAATACAAAATCTCCGCTCTAAAAAGCCATTATTGTAAGTGAAATTTCTGGGGCATATATCTACAGTAGCAGAAAATTTATGTAAACCGAAAAATAGATTATTATAGTAAATTTTAACTAGATAAACAAGTGTTAGAAAGAGGAGCAACAGCAAAAATTTTACAAGGAAGTTGCGTTATCGAATCAGCTTAGTCTTCTCAGAGAGGAGGAAACGTCAGAAATCAAGTTTCCCGCGAATTTGAAGCAAGCGGATGTTATTGTGGTACAGGAAGTGGAATTGCACAATGAAATATGTCAACTCCAGCTTCGATTTTCCGTATATGGTAGGGGCTAATTATTCACTGAAGGCCCAGTGGAGGAGGCTCTGAATGAACGGACCAATCAACGCTAAGGACCCCCCATGGCCCCTGGTGAGGAGGGTAAGTCGAGCGTCCTTGTGTTGTCGGCCATCGCAAGTTTTCCTTCAGTTTGAAGTTTTCTTTTTGATTTTTTGGGTGATCGTGGATTCGGATTGCTAAGCCCAGCTTACTGGGGTCTTAGGACCGTACATCAAGATTTGCTATGGTAAGTTTATCAAGCTTTTGTTGTAGTTCCGTTTGAGTGGTAGAATTTTTTGTAAGCCCTTCATTTATTAGATTATAAACTTAAATTTTCTTTGCTTCAATTTAACCTTGGTTTCTAAGCTTTTACTTATTTTACGGGTCTCTTGTCTTCTAAAGGCATCACTGATCTGACTCTAGCTAAGCTGTGAAATGTTTTATTCTTACTAAATTAGGCTTTACGATCTTCATGTGCTTAGTGATACACTTGCTTGAGGCATGGAATTTCATTTATACATACAGTAAGGAAGATTCTTTTCAAAGAAGCTTGAACCTCTCTGTCCAATTGCTCATGCTTTGCACTTGTTTACGATACTATGGAATCTTCAGAGACGGTTTTGAACTGTATGTCTTTTCGAAAATATAGATAAACTTCTCAACCTTTTCGATGGTGCTAGACGAGTTGAAGGCGAATAGCAAGTTTGCCTTCCTTCTGATCCTTAACTGCTAATGTTTGTCGTGGCAGTTCAACGAACGAATAAGTTTATCTTTAACTTTAGTTGAATCCTACCTTTTGTGATTTGAATTCTATTTGCTAATACGGAAGAGTAAAGAACAGCGTACGATTTCGTAGTGTTAAGCATGTTCTGTCAATTTTGTAGACTTGGTCAGGTCGTATTGTTTACGAATCTTCATTCGAAGATTTTTAGCATGCTTTACTGCAACCACGTACTCATTGGACACGATTTTAGAGCTAATTAAACTCAACAGACTCTTGTAATTTCAGTAGTGGACATTTTCTTAGTAATGTTTCTTGTTTCCTACGGTAGAAAGTACGAATAACTTTAACTCGTTTGAAGACGTTCTCGTGTGTTGACTTGACAAAAATAACGCCATACTCCTACCATCAGATGATGTTCAGTTGCATTTCCACTCTTCATAAGTTTGCTTCATTTAGCAGTCATTGCCATTGATTAAGGCAGTACATTTGCTAACCGCTGGTTTTATGTCAAGTCAACATTTAAACTCAGTGAATTTGGAATAAGATCATCTATAATTTAAAGCAAATCTTTGCTCACGTCATTTAGTGCTCCAAACCTCGTTTCTTTTCGTTCTTTACCTTTCGACAGGCACAGTCTTCAGAGGAACCTCCATTCTTAACCGTAGGTACTGATGTCAGTGCCAAGTATCGAGGAGCCTTTTGTGAAGCCAACGTGAAGGTCGTGAAGAAGCTTGTCAAATGCAAGGTTTGTGAAAATTGTGATACTTTTCCTGTACACTGGAAACTCGTTTGGATTCTTGCCTTACAGTCGAGGAAGATAGTGCTTCTTACACTTGTTGTGACTATAGATCATTGCTCTTTTCCTCTGCAGATTACCTTCGCCAAAACAAACACTTCCTTCACGATTAATGATGATTGCGTTAAAGGTCCTTTGAAGGTAAGTTCTCCATCCCATGTTTATTCAACATTCTTATTTTCATCATGATGATGCGTTAAGGTTATGTTTTTTCCTGAAAGTGGTGTTCTTACACATCTTAATTGTAACTGTGCTTCCCTCTTAAGGTAGGAGCAGTTGTAGAGGCCAAAAATCCCGATGGACAGTACATGGAAGGGATGATAACCAAACTCACCGATGCTAGCATATATACTGTTGGTAAGGAAGCGTTTTTCCTTGTCTAAGTTGATGCAGAAGAGAGGCAAGTTTTACCGTGTTTTTGAAACAAAACAAGGCTTTAATTACGGACATGTTTATTTCTTTTAAGTTTTTGATGATGGTGATGAAAGAACGTTGAGAAGGACTTCTCTGTGTTTGAAAGGAGAACGACATTTTAACGAAAGCGAGGTGGGTGTTGAACGATGGATCTCTGTATTCTTTGGTGAGTGTTTCTCAGTATTGCATCACTTATCACCGAGATGTGTGTACACATGTTGTATCTTCATTCTTCCTTACAGACTCTTGATCATCTTCCCCTTACGGATCCAGAGAATTTTGGTACCCCAGTAGTACAGGTAAGTGATTGTACAAGTAAACTTTGAAAGTGTATACTTAAAAAGTTTAGAAAATAATTGAGCTTGGACTGTTTTTTGGTGTGAAGATGGGTACATCTATTTACTTATTACATATCTTGTACAAGGTTCTGTCAGGTGTAGAAGATATACTAGTGCACTCTAAAAGGTGGACAGTGATCACATTTTTGCTGATTCTTGGAAAGGTTCCTCTTACTGAAATTGTACCGAATAGGGATTTATGTGGAATCTTTTAATTTAGTTGTGGTTGGAATTGTGCAGTTTGAGCACTTTTAAAGGACCTGAAAAAATATCACTCACTGTCTTTAAGTCATATTGCTACTCTCAGATGCATAGAAGTGGAGTTTGGAAAAAATGTCATTTTTTGTGCTGCAGAATTAGGCGGAAAATGAACTTTGCAAGTTTTGATGAACTCTGCAAAAGTTATTTTGCCTTTTGATGGAACAAAATGCATTGAACAAATTTAGTGGTCAGGTGTTGGAAACAAATTGTTATTCCATAGTTTAAGTGGAAGAAACTTATCAGAATGGATTGTAGATGAGATAATTTTTTGTGCGTGTGTTTCAAGATATATTGATACAAGCTTGATGCTGTGCAAGATATATTTCATAGCCAGTAATTGGCATTATTGCAGTGTTGACCACTTTGGTGGTTGTCAGCTGTCTTCTCCTAAAAGGAATGATTTTGGCAATTGAATGGGGGGGATGAATTACCTTTGTTTGCCTATGATAAAAGTTGGTTTCTCTGAAGGGTGCATAAATATTTTCTTCTTCCTTCTTGAGATATAATGTATTTAAAACATGAACTAAGATACTTTCTTGGAATTATTTCCTTCCTTTGCTAATATTAACTTTTATACAGTCCTCTTAAAAAGAGTTGTAATGAAAGTCTAGATTATGATTTCAGCTGGACCTGATTTGCTTTTTGTTGAAGTTTAGAGTGAAGAGTGTCATGTATTTTGATTTAATCAATGAAACTTCTCTCATGTGTTATCTTTTTATTTTTCTTATAAGTTGTCTTGATTGAGTTTTAATGTATGTAATAGATAATCTCTTGGTTCAACCTCTTTTGTATCACATGGCATGCACAATTCTTGTTGCATGGCTAAAAAAAATTATTGTGTTTGTTATATATTACTACCCAACCCACCAGTGAATCAACATGTTTTAGAAGTGGGTTTGATTACATTATGGAGGCTAGATGTTTTCTCTATCAATGCACCTATGGCATAATTTTGAATGTCATAGCCTTCAGTAGTGAAGTTTTGAGGTCTTTTTTGTTTGATTTCAGTTATATGAAGTGACCATGACCGAGTAAATAGTTCTCTTGTTTTAAAATAATAATTCTTCAATGGATTGTAGCTTTATTGCTTTTTGTTTGTGTCCTTGAAATTGGTATATTAAACGCCAGCTATTTATAAACAAGTTATTCTCATTTTTTTAGTGGTTAGGGGTTAATGTTACCATAGCTACTGCAGCAGCTCTCAAGAACACCCTTTTTTTTTTCTTTTATTGGGTATATCTTGAATGTGACTTCTACTCTCCCCTTTCTCTTCCCCCCTCTCTCCCCCCTCCCCAAGTTTGTTAACTGTAATGCCAGGTTTACCAATTTAGATCCTTATGCAGTGTCAAAATAATTTGTATAAATTTAGTAGGGCCTCCTAATTTTTGGTGAATGTAAGTTTTCTCTAGACCTGTTGACACAGAGATACTGTGCAAAAAGATGAATATTGCAGATTCCCATTCAGTGATAAATATGCCTCTGCATTTCAGGATGGAAAGAAAAGGAAAAAAAGAAGACTAAGTCAAGCAGCAAGGTAATCAGGCTATTCAGAAATAACTGGTGCTAAATCAGAATTGGGATGCATGGTTACAGTTGTGAGATGACATTCATGGATCATGACACTACCTATGAAAGCTGTCTTGCTCCATGTTTGCCCACAAATTTATGTAGGGTTACAATTTCCACACAAGCCTCCTTTGATCAAGGAAAGAGAGGATCAGAATCTTTTTTCTCAAATGTTTGGCTTGGTTGTACATCACTGGGTCCCACAGTATAGTTGAGAAGTGTGACACAGTTACAAGTGTTCATAGATTTCTACTTAGTGTGAGGGTTGCAGTATAGTCATGGCCTCTATTTGGTTTGTCTCAAAATACTCTACTGTGTATTGGAGGCACATGGATGTTTCACCATCAACAGCAGTTTAATTGATTTGCATGTTTGAGTTACAGAATACATATGCAAAAAAGGAAATTTTAGGATTTCCTGAAGCCCTTTCCCCCTAACTTAGACTTTGCACATGTTCTTTCCTGTGAAAATAAAGAAAAGGACATGTTTTCTTGTGTCCAAATTAAAAAGGAACCTAATTGTCTTATGAATGGTTAGGCTGTTAACCATATAGAGGTTCATGGCCTTTTGGAAATTGCTTGGCAGAATAACTTAGCATCCAATTAACACTGGGGTGAGTTATTTGGTTAACAAAATTTTGTCTGCTTTTATTAGCATGGATGACTCTGAAACTGAACGAGATGAACAGCCACTTGCTTCTGCAAAGAAGAAATGTTTATTTGATGACAGTATTGTTGGCAAGGTAAGCAAGCTACTTATGGAACCTTAGTTGGTAATAATAATTGGCAACAGAACTTTATATGCTTTTTTTCTTTTACATTAGCTGGTAGTTGTGCAAAGTGGGTCAAAGCGAAGAAGCATGTGGTTTCCAGCTTTGGTAAGTTTATGTAAGGTTTCTTCAGAAAATAAATGCACAAAATTCAATTTATTTGACAATTAGGGAGAGAGATACACCTAAGTCTTTCATATTTTTAAACCATATGTTAAGTTTGAGTAGATGTTATCATCCTCAGTTTCAAGTGATTGTTTGCTAAAGGAAGTGAGGTATTGTCTCTTAAAAGCTGTCATGGGGGTAGAACATTTTGATCAGCAGAAATTATTCTTTTTGTTTAGGGTGTTAATCCAAGCAAGAATGAGGTGGATTTGATAAAGTCAAAAGATAAATGTCTTGTACGCTCTTTCAAAGATGGAAAGTAGTAAGTTCCTTACCATGGTTAAAATGTACTAATTACTATGAATTTAATAAATGTAACAGTAGCTGTGCTGGTAATGAATAACTTTCTTGAAAGGAAACTTAGACCATCCGATCAGGATGCAGATGGTATCTAAATATGTGGTATATCATTTTAGAAAGGGGATGGGTTTTAGCTGCTCAGGGAGGGGGCTTTAAATTACCAAGTCTGTTTTATTAATTGTCCCTCAAATATACTTTTACTGTGTATGGTATTTTGTTTGATGTCAATACACAAGGAGCAGTTACCTGCAAAAAAAGTTAAGCTCTGTGCTGCTAGAAAGTAGGAGTCATTAAACACTCTATCACCAAAATTAATTGACACAATTAGTTGGAAGGAAGCAGAAGCAACCATTCCACAGCCGCCACAGGCTCTTCTCAACACATGACTGACAGACCCACTGAGTGAGAAAGGTGGGAGGGAAATTAAGAGAAAAAAGTGACACAACAAGTTCAGCAGAAGCCAATGGATTGGTCCTCCATAGATCCCTTGGGTCCCCCTCATTGTCTTGGTTAAGGTTTTGCTTAAAGAACATTTCATCTCAAAGTAATCGAAATGCAAACATTGGAATGGTAGCACACGCCAGGGCGTGAAATTACGCCTAATACAGGCGCCAATGCGACTAAATTTTTTACTTTGGCGACCAAATTCTGAAAGTTAGTCGCCAAATTGGCGACTAGAACGTTTCATCATAACCTTACCAAGAGATATAGTGAATTAAAAAGATTTGCAAAGATAAATCCGTGGCTTGTTACCAAAATGTAGCATGTGCATCTCAATCAATAACTAGACGCCATCTTGGATTTAGATGAGCCTGAACGTTGTATATCATCCATCCTAGTGTCCACTTTGTAGCACGTTAAAGATGTTTTCCCTAACTTAATTTTGGAGGGTCTATCTAGAACACTGACAGCGTAAAGAAAGATTTTGTTTGTCTTTGAAAATGGTGACCAACTTTTTTTGAATTGGCTACCACTTTGAAGAATTTAGGAGCCAAGTGATAATCAGAAAAAAAAGTTAATTTCACGCCCTGCGCGCAGAGGATATTCTCCTATCAACACTGATAGGAGAAAAAAAAAACTTGTGAAGGTCACTTGTTATGGCAATTTTTACCTGTTAGCACAGCAGTTAATCATTTTTTTTTAACAGATTCTGTAAAGTTGTAGACATGGAGAACTAAACTTAATGGCTTACACTAAACATATTTGTTTCCAACTCTCCAGTCATGTCATAAATGTCAAAGATGCCAGAGAATTTTCAAAGGATCAAGATCCAATTCATGGTGTTGTGAGAGGTGAAAACAGAAAACTGAAAGCAGGTATGTACACAATCCAAATTCCCAATTTATGAGATATAATTGTTTTTTTGTGAGACAAATCATTTGACATCTAAAGTTTCCTCATTACCTTTTCTGTGTGCTAGACATAAGGGTGTTTTTCAGTTGGAGGTAACAGCTGTTTTTTGATTTGTTGTGGCACTAATTTTCTCCTTCAGCTGTGGAAAGAGCACTGGCATATTTGGACACTGGAAGAATTCCAGCAATCTGGGAGGAGAATTCTTGTGATGTAATAGTTCATGGAGACAGTGAGGAGGAAACAAAAAGGGTGCAATCTTCAGAGGATGAAAGCAGTGTGGAGGATGATGAAGAGAGGAAAACATTCAGACAAAAGCTATTTGCATTCATGGAAGAAAAGGGTTGGTTCACTTCATTTACACCTTTGCTTTTTCATTCCATGTTCAATTATGTTGTGAAAGGCTTCAAACTGTGGAAAGTTAAGGGATCATTAGCTCTGAAATCATAGCCAATTCATAGATCACACTACCACAAATCAAATAGGATTATTTTTCCCCATAGAGTCGTGGCTATCATACCTTAAGATATTAATTACATTCACAAGCAATTTTTGTAGATGCACAAATAGTCATCCAGGGTGATTGCACTCCTGGAAATCCATTATATTGGCTCCCCAGTTAGATTGGAGGAGGGGTGAATTCACAATTTTAACAATTCTTGAGTGCCATGCTGAAACAAATAATCTTTTGGCATATTTTTTGGTGTCCCACATATGTTAGTTGTAGTTGTCCTAAGAGAATTTTGGGGTTGTGTGGCAATCTTTTGACTACACCTCCTTACCCCTTGGTGATTGGTGATGCTTTGTCGGATAAATGCATTTTTCTTTCCTTCTTTTTGAAAAGTGAAAAAGTGCATTCTTAGAATCTCTCTTTCTCCACAAACATTTTGGTCAAAAATTATTGGAAGAACAAATGTTTTTTCCTTTTGTTTGTATTTGTTATCATAATATTAACTTGTTTTGAAAAATTTAAAACAGTGAAACATGTGAATCATAACATGTTAAAAGCCATAAATTATTCTTATTGCCTTTAATAACAAATGAAGTAGACAATTTACCATTCAAACTTTGTTATCACATTACCAACAGGAACACCTATAACTAGACCCCCAGTGTTGGGAAATCAAGATTTGGACCTCTACAAACTTTATAAGATAGTTCAAGAACATGGAGGCATGGAGAAGGTTGGTGGTTGCAAAATGTTCTCATTTTCTATTGTTTTGCAAGTGAAGTTACATGTAAGAACTGTTGGTGTTACCCTTTTCTCTGGTTATTGATGTTTTTATATACTTGATTCTTAATTCTACTTGACCTCCAAGTCATGTACCATACATCAGAAGTAACTTCTGAAATTTTTCTAGTAATTTAAAAGAGCCCAAATGTCTCAAACAAGATGAGCAATGCCTATATGGGGTGAGCATTTAATGTACTGTTACAGTAGTATTCTTTTTGTTTAAGTAATTATTTTCGGCCATTACAGGTTTCCAATGAGCACAACCTTTGGAGGACAATTTATCGGCAAATGGACATTCCAGTTGTTCCACCAAGTGCATCACACCACATTAAAATGTCATATAAGAAGTAAGGTTATCTCATTCTCACTCTATCAATTTCCTTTGTTTTGTCAAACTATGTTATTGAAGAATTTATTTTAATGTTTATTTCCCTCTTGCACTGATTAGCTCTGCTGTTTAAGGTTATTTTGCGAAACGGGGAAAACAAATTGACAATAGTTCAAAAAGTCCAAAAGTTCATCTGCAAAAATTAGAAGGAAAAGTGGACAAAGCAAGCTAGGGAAAAAGAAAAGCTTCACTTCTATTTCCTCCATGCAGGCTCTCTGGCCACCATTCCTGTTTTGGCCATTTGATGAGGATTATTATTTCTCAATGTATTGCAAAATGTGACAGAAACTCTGCTTTGTTTTGTGCAGCAAGACACAATGTAAACAAAATATGCAAATGAAGATCACAGATGAAAGCCCACAGAAAATGTAAACACTCTGCTTGAGGCCTTTCCAGCTTTGACACCTGTCACTCTTTAGTGAAGGTTCCCTTAAAAAATTCTTTCCACCATATCTCTCATTATTCCAGAGATTTTGTAAAATTATCGTCAACGAAGTGAACTCAACTGCTTTCTCTGACTAGAGAGGGGAAAAAATAAATTTTAAAAATCTCAACCAGATTTTATTGACAGTAACTTATATGATTAAATAAGAAAGTTTTCTGAGATCTCATGTTCTCATTTCTTTTTTAGATACCTTTATCCCTTTGAACAGTATGAAAAAGAAATGCTAAAGTCATTTCAGAAAGATAGTGTTGGTGATAGGAGCAGTAAAGATTCCAAAACTGAAAGTCCAGCAAGTTCCCCAGAGAGCAGCGATGAAAAACATTTGGAATGTCTAGAGCCTTTGCCAGAAATGGATGATGATGAAGGAGACTTAAAGAAGGTGGAATGTAAACAAAGCACCAGGATTAGAGAAATGAAGCGACAGCAGAGTCGAGAGCATGACAATGGTTTGGTAAGTGACTCACAAGCCAAAAGCCCAGAGGAGGATGTTTCAGTTGATGTTGTAAACAGTCCTGAGTCATCATCTGATGTTAGTGAACCACAGTCTGACAGTAAATCTGATATACCTTTGGATGAGGTATCCTTAGAAGTTGGAGATAAAGTGCAAGTTAAGTATGGGAGAGGAAGAAATCACAGACACTATGATGCTAAGGTATGATGTAAGAACTTATAACCCTTGGCTTTTTTATTGTTTTTGTAGTGTATTTTTGATATTCAACAAAGTTTCACACAGAATTATCAATTCTTTTGTTTTGCTTTAATTTGCTTAGGTAATACAAAGGACAGTTGCACATAATTTATTTTATATGCATTGTATTTTTAACTTTTGATTTGAGAGATTGGATGTAAATTTACTTTAAGGCACAATAATCAGTCCCAATTTTCATGCATGCAACAATTTAGCTTAGTGGAGAACTGCCAGTGTTCTTGGTTAGAGAATTGTGCATTACTTTCAAACTGTATTGATGCGAGATGAAAACCAAAAAATCTCCTTTAGATGGTTATGCAGAAAGTGGTTTGGTAACAAGAATTTTGCCTAAAAGTTCGAGCTGATTTCTTTGATTAAGCTGTTTTTTAATTAGAGTTGTTAGGACATTGAAAACAGTGTGGAGACATTTACATATTCTACATTTTACTTTAAAAGATCATCCACATTGACCCCAAAGCTGAAGAAGGTGCAATTTACTGCATTCATTATGCTGGTTGGAATAATAGGTTTGTAAACTTTAATTTTAGGCAGATTTGAACTGATTACTGGAGTAAATGGTAGCTTTAGCAGTTGAGTTTTTTATTCTAAACTCTTCAAACATTGAATCTTTGGGTCATTAGTTGTGGTCACCAAAAAAACTTCCAATCAGGGAGAATTGAAAAGTATTTCATAATTCTTAAGAATATCCAAGATGTTTCATAAGCATGTCACTTTGTTTCAGTTAAAAGAGAGCTTATCAGTGCCTTTGAATCATAGGAAAGTATATCACAAGTTTTAATGAAATTATTAAATGTTTCCTGGCAAGAATTACCAGCAAGGTAACCATTGTCTCAAAATCAGATAATAAACAAGGTCAAAACAAATGAATACCATGAAATGGAAACAAGTTTTGATTTTTTTTATGTGTAGAGAAGAAATTAAAGTGTACAAAATATTCTGATAACTATGAAATCTTTGATTGGCTCATGCACAGGTGATTAAATCTGAAGATCCATTCTGCATATACTCTGGCAATGGATTCATGTAAAATTGTATTAAACCTCACAATAAAATAAGAGACCACTCAGATATTGTCTTTTTGGAACCAAAACTAATCTTTTTTCAACAGAAACAAAATCAGAGCTGTAAAGTTTGGATTTATCAACATATAATGTTTTTCTGAAAATCTTTGCCATTAATTAGCAATCATTATTGTCATTGTAATTAGAAAGAAAAAATTGTGCCACTCATAATCAAATGAAAAAAGTGAGGAGGAGGAGTGAAATAGCAAAACCCTACCAAGGGTGAATTTATCATCATCATCTTTTATTTGCCTTATTTACTAAATACAAAAATTTATTTGCAACAGTTATAGCTAGTAGGTGAGGAGACCCAGGAAGCCACTGGGCTTATATGAGAGACTCTTTTATGTTTCCATTGTAGGTATGATGAATGGATTAAGCCTGAGAAGATAGTGGGATGGGGCACAAGACAGACCAGGAATAGAAGTGGCAGTTCAAGCAAGGGGCAAGAATCTACTGGAAAATCCACCCCAAAGCCAATGACAAGACCCACTGCTAAACCTGTTGGTAGAAGGTCATCAAAACCAGGAGCTGCATCAGCCAAGGAAACACCAGCCAAGTACTCAGCAGCATCTAATGGTACCAAGAGTACACTGAAGAGACCTTGTTCACCCTCCACAAGGTCTGGATCACTTTCGCCATCACTTGGAAAGTCTCCTAAAACCAGTAGGGGAACAAGCCGTACACGGTCAGAAAGGAATTCATTGTCAGAGATATCAAATGGACTAGATGAAGGTTTGGCTTCTACTGTTGATAGAGCAACGAAAAGAGTTTTTGTACATAAGTAATCTGTGGGAAATGTTAAGCTTCATTTTGCAGAAGGGTTTCAAAACCGATCTCCTCTCCCCCCCCCCCAGAAAAAAATTGAAACAGTTGATTACAAAAAGATAAGGCTAAAAACTAAATGTCATAGGAGGAATAGTGTGCAATCAATGTTTAAGTCTTAAAATGGTTGTTTGCACAACTAAAAGAAAAAACTTGTTGCCTCTTAACAAGGAACAGCTGAGTGAAAGTTTTCAAGTGGAAGAAAACTAAATTTACTTCTTTGTGCGACTTTGCTATTGTAGATAACCTTTATGGGTTAGTGAGCATTAACCCCATAATCTCAACCCAGTTTACTGATATTGTAGTTAGTAGTTTAGTGACATTCATTAAATTAAGTATTTACAAAGCTTAAGTGAAGAAAGCTTACATAACCAGTCATCTATGCTTAGTTCAAACTTTTCATGTATTTATCTTACAGACCTAGTCAGGTTGACCCAATAATTAAATTCACTGACTTCCAGCTTAATAAGTCAAACTTAACCTAAGTGAAAGTTAAGGATTGTGGACCAAAAACTAAATTATACTAACTTATGAGTTGCACTTGGCACAAGCAGCTTTACCTTTGTATTGAAATAGCTCCACTCTCCAACTTTTTGTGGACAGTTCTTGAACTTCTAAAATTCTTGTGCTAACCCAAATAAGATATGTGGAGCTAAGCGGATTCAAATGTTTATCTTGTTGTCTTCTTTACAGAAAAAATTAGGTGGGTTACATTTCAATACATGAAAAGTTAGAGGTTTAACTCAGGGTGGATGATGACCTGTGACTTTCTCAGCTGAAAATCCTTGTCTAATCTTTTGAATCTCTCAGGCTTTTCTTTAAGAACACCATTTACTCCTACTCTAAGGCATACATTTCTGACTAAGCAAAGTTATTGCTACATCCCTTAACAATTTTCTGTCATGAGTGAACTGCCAGTGGAAAGTTTTGTTTCAAAGCCTAGATTTGTTCAGAAAGTTGGAGAAAATAGTGCAATAGTGTCAATTAATTATGCTATACTTCTTTGCTTTAGTGAAAAGTCCATTGTCAAGAAGAAGGCAAAAGTCAAGCACACCAGAACCCTCTTCAACTGGTAACCACCATGTTGTATCATACTGCTAATCGGATTAAAACCAGTCTTTTCAAATCTTAATTTCAATCTTTTATTATCCTCTTGTCCATACTTGAAACTTTTTTTTTAAATTCAAAAAAGTTCTTTGGAAATAGTAACATCACAAAGTGACACATTTTTCTCAAGAGGAAATGCTAGGTGCCCAAAATCCTATCAACAGATGATAAATGCTAAGACACTCCCTTGGGGATAAACTTCAGACTTGCTCTTACTGTAGAAATAATCTAACCTTGAGAGTAATTTTTCTTGTTTTCATAATTGTCTTGCTTATCAGGCATTCCAGGTAAACTATTTGACTTATACATTTGCTTTATTTAAACAGAACAACAGAGCAAAACTGCAGATGTATCCAATCAAGTTCAGCCAATCCCTGAAACAATACCCGAAGAAACAGAAAACAGATCTCTGGAAGAAAAGGATACTGCTGTTACCAATAATGAATCTATGGTTGATCCAAAAATGGACACCATTTGTTTCGAAAATGGAGTGCCAAGTGAAATGCAGTCTAATGCAGAACAAGAATCTGAGCACATCTCTAGTAATTCTAATGGGAGAAGGAAAGACAAAAATAAAAGAACTATAAATGGTTTAATAAAAGGTGTTTCATCTCTCGAAAGAGTGAACAAAGACTCCAAAGACGAAATGGAAACAGTGACTGAAGCTAAGAAGATAAAACTAGAAAATGAGAAAAACTCACAAAGCAAAGAGGTGGAAGACACCTTGAGGGTTGACACTTTAGCAAAGATTCCAAATGTTCCTCTTCAAACACAGGGTACTGCGACTACAATGGAAACAGTTTCGGAGTCTTCCTCAGAGGACATAAAGCAAGAGTGTACCAATGAATCTGCCTCTTCGGAGTCCAGTCACTTTGATGATGTTAGGACATTTGATGGGCCAGTTGATCGTTCTCTACACAGAGATACAAATGAAAAGGCTCATGAACTTAACAGTAAGGAAAAAGAAATTAAATCTGAAAAGAAAAATTCTGAACAACATCACAGGAAACATAAAAAAAGGAAGGAAAGGAAGAAAAATCGTCATGCATCTGGTAATGACAGCACAGGAAGTGATGCTCCTGGAAGCCCAGGATATAGCCACTCACAAGGTTCATTTTCATCTCCCAGACGCCCTAGAATATGTTTTGACATGGATTTAGGTAAGACTTGAACAAAATAAGTCAGTCACCATTGTGCTTTACTTTGGGTGTTTTCTCTCTGTCTTAAAGTTATTCTTTCCTTAATTTTTCAGAGCAAATTAAAGCAAAGGAAGATGGTGGAGAACGTATTAGACTCCTTCAAGACAAAATTAACGAAATGAGGAAAATTTATAGTTCTCTTAAAGCTGAGGTTGCTAACATTGACAGAAAACGGAAAAGGCTAAAAAAGAAAAGAGGTATAGTCAATATCATCATTCACTTTTTACTATCCACATGGTATGGAAATTACTTTGCATTGTTTAGACTTTGTTCTGCATGAAACATCATTTATTTTAAGTTGCTGTTGATGTTAGATATACAGCCACAAGTCAGCTGAATTTAAACAACTGCTGAATCCCTGAAAGATGAAGTGAACCCAGTGTAGGTGGATGATTGGAACCATGAAAGTCGAGGGTGGGGTGGGGGGCTAAATCGAGTTACTCTGAAAAATAACTGAGGTAAGAACTCATATTAGACTTGTGTAGCATGAGTGAGTCCCACTCATCTCTCCATTTGTGACCAGTTCTTTTGCATCATTGCCAGCATCTAACCTCCCCAAAACATAGGCAAAAAATGCAGCCAATTTCAGCAGGCTATATTGGAATCTACACCAACAACATCTGTTGTGTAGGAGTAGTTATGATGTGATACCTATGAAAAAAGGCTTTTGTCTGTCTAAAGCAAGTGTGTGGGTAGGAGCTGCAGAGCTGGAGAAAAGAAATAGATTTGTAGTTTCTGGGCCTTCTCTCCTACTCCCAGGCACCTATGTTCAACCCCATAGCTCCTATTTTACTTGGGTTCTGAATGGTGATGCAGAGGCAGTAGGAGTGTAAACAGACAGTAGAGGTGACATGGTTGCCACTGATTAGGACATATTCAGGGAAAACAATTTCCTTCCCAATCAGGGAATTGCACTTTGATCAGGGGAAAAGTTGCATCTTTGATAGTAAATGCAAACCCCTTAATCCTAACCAGGCCCTCTTCATGATGGAAGGTGCTGACACTTTTCACTGTTTGCAACTGTTGGTGTTGATTCCAGGCATTCAGGTTCAGGACCAATTTTTTGCCTTATAATATGTGTTTGTATTTCAGAAGCAGTGGGAGTTGAACAGGCTCAGGATGTAAATAAGTCAATGCCATCATCAACAGCATCACATGCAGTCCCATCTCCAGCCATACCACCTGTAGAATGTAGATAACAAGGGAATTTCATTGTTGGTATTTTTGCTTGATTACTTGTCATCCTCTCTTCTATGATAGAATTTCAACGAAGTGCATTAACTTGTAATTCGTTTTAGAAGTGTCTGTACCAACAAAATCAAAGATGTCGCTTATTAGTGAGTAGAGCCTCTAAGAGCATGGTGGAAGTTGGTATCATTTTGACATTGTCGTTACCAGTGCATCCATGGTTTTCTCTCTGGTGAATAACTTTCTTTTTTTAGAACCAATGAGTAAGTGTGGACATCCAAATTATAACACCCCAGATAGAGCATTGTGATACAACCACCTTCATCCCTTTCCCCCTCCATCTGGGGAAGTAAACCTGATATATTTACATCAATAGGAATTATGGGACTTGAAATCAAGCAATCTTATTAGGATCAATATCAGTATTTAGGCAACTGCCCCCCTACCCCTCCCCCAACTCAACAACAGTTAATTGATAACAAGTTAGGGTTAATGTTGGGTTAGGGGAGGGGTAGGTGGGCAGTTGCCCAGATACTGATATTGATCCTCTTATTTAATATGGATTTTCAATAAATATTCTTAACTATCCAACAAGATAAGTTGATAACGGTTGATCATTATAATTGTTTTACATGCACATGTAATGATGATGATGACAACCTGCTAAACTCACCTTTTTATTTGTACAATACTTCAATGTCTCTGGTGCCCTCAACCTGTGGACATTTTGAATTATGTAAACTTCATGTGCAGTTGTAGACATATAGAGATATTAAAGTATTCCAAATAAGAGTTTTGATTATAATGCACTCCTGTATTTGAATTAACGTGCGTTTATTTTAACTCCGAAGTCGTCGACAAAATCCAGTCCTCTTTTCGGTGATAATCAGTTCATACTTAACACTTTATATGACATGGCCCTTACCAAGTGGTTCTCTAATTACTAAATATTAATTTCAATTCAGGTGCAATATTTTTTTTCATCTTAATATCTCTGCCGCAGTATTTTTTAAGGGCAGCGGCTTAACTTTTGAAAACCGTCTGCCTACTTCTGAGAGGTGGAGAGTGAGTCTTGTTTTTATCTCAAGAATGTGATATTTTTGGAATTGGAAAGTTCACTTTAGTTTTGCGTGTTGAAAGATATCTTGTGCCTTGTGTGAAGTGGTCATGAGATTGTGGACTGCTCAAAGAGGGAGTGACAATAATCAAACACTCTTCATAATAGTTACTTTTAGATTGTGTGTAAGTAATCATTATGTCTTATAATAACTTGCAAAAAAATATCAGTTAGGTACATATATTATGGAGATGTATTTATGAAGGCCTTTAGTGTGTTATTTTACATTTCGAATTACCACGGGCTTCTTCACGCACAAAAAAAGTGTATGAAGCAAAGAAATAGTATTTAAACTTTTTCAAGTTGTTTGGGAAATTAAGCTTATTGAATTAATGTTTCTGTATGTAAAAATTGTATATTTTGTTTATTTTTGGTTATTTTATTGTTAACAACTCTGATTATGTCGGTTTTTAACTGATTTAATACATGTTTTTATTTGTCAGTTATCAAGCAGATGAATTAGATTTAACCATTTAAGTTACGTCTTTTTTTTTCTTCTCTTTGGAGGACAAAGAACCAGTTCTTACCTTCGATTTTCCCGTTTCATATTTTTCGTTGGATATACTAAAGGTCTTCTAAAGCATTTGTTCTTTGTTTATGTCTGTCTGTCTCTTTTTTTTTGGCACTTAGTGCTCATCATAAGTTTTAGGTCCCTTTTTTATTGTTTTCTTGTTACAATCCTTCGAGTCCCCTCATATTTCTGCCCGCCCAAACAGGATACTCGATTTTAAGAAAAATCGGCTGATGAGTATTGATTCTAAGCAACTTGTAGTTATTGAAATTAAAAAATTGGTTTCTCGATAAACTACAATTACTTTGGGGAGTAAATGCCAGAACGAGTCGATAAAACGTTTTTAACATGCCTCTTTTGCATTCTTACACTCAATGCTTCCATTTTGTAGAACCAAGTGCTTGCTTAGTTTGTTGGTATCAGGCAGTGGATAAAGTAGTAAATGTGTTTGTAACACTTTTTAGCTTTTTATTTTCTGGTGTGTTTTAACAGTACCTTTCTCTAATTTATTCTGTCAAGATTGTGAATAAAGACTTCCTTGATGTGGAAGTGATGGGCATATTCTAGTTGTATGAAGTCTCTAGCTATGGAGGGAAATATCATGTCTCTGAGTATGCAAATATGTACTGAAAGGTAGACACGGAATTGTTGAAAGGCGAAAAAAAGGTGATTTAAAGGTGTACGCTATCGACCTGTTACCAAGACTGGGTGAAAAGGAGGTATCTACTGCAGGGAGAATCACACACACCCCTCCATCAAACCCTCTAAGCTTTTAGTTTGAACCGACTCACGAGCTTGAACTACAAGCTTCGTACACTTGACCCTGAAATTTTTCAGAATCGTTGTTTGAATATAATTTCTTCAATGCTTATACAAAATAAAGTTTAATTTAAAAGTTTGGAAATAAAAATCGGGTAAACCGAAATCAATTACCTAGACCATTTTCAAGCTAGGAGATCGTAGTTTTTCCTTTCTGAGCGGTTTTTGCCACTTGTATTTTCCACCGCAGATGGACTAGGCTAGTAAAGTGAATGCTGGTATGTAAAGGGACAAAACCAATAGCATGTCACGATTCTCGCTGAAATCGCTTTACAGTGACTCATCTCAAAGAGAACGTGCAACCGTAAGGTGAACGCAATGCGAGGGCGGAGTTAATGTAGAAATCGTTTGGGTCTCTTCTCGCAGTAACGATTGTCTCGACGATGTGAGGGGTACGATCAGAGAACAGCGAACTAAAGACTTCTCGCTACTGTCTCTCATTTTAAATTTTAGTGCCACTGGTATCACGCGACAGCATCAAATTAATAAAGGGGTAAGTTTCTAAAGAAACTGTGTTGCTGCGTCAGTGGGAGAGTATAGCAAGTAATTTAGTGTTCACAACTGAGTTGAAAACGTAAATTAGCCACCACAAAGGGTGAAAAAAGCTGACTTTTCGAGCGTTAGCCCTTCAGAGCGATACGAAGGGCTAACGCTCGAAACGTCAGCTTTTTTACCCTTCACGGCGGCTAATTTACGTTTTCAACTCAGTTGTTAGCATCAAATTAAGCTGTGCGAGGCTTTTACTTGTTCTTCTGTTCAAGCTGAGAAGCTACGCGAGAGTTACACGGCGGCTTGGAACGAGAGGGAATAAAAAGAGCAAAGAAAAGGAGGGGTCTCTATTCCCCCCTTAGAGTTGCCTGCCTTCCTCTTAGCCCTAGTTTACACTCATTCTCCTGTGCATTCTTCAATTATCATTTTTTTTTCCCTTGTTCTTATTTTCGCTCAGGGATAGGGTTGGGGTTTTATTCAGAAATAAAGTGAAACAAGCTGTCACCATTTGAATCTAATTTTGCTTCCACCACTCAACCGGACATAAGAATGATGATACAAGGCCGTATACAAGACTTGCTTTTCATCAAAAGACGAGTTAATTTAACGAGCTTCTCTACACGAAACCTTTTATTTATTTCCCGAAAATTTCATTTTCCACGCCGCGAAGTGCAAATGGCAGTAATTGCTTGAAGCCACGACCTGCGCGCGTGCGCAGCAGGTCTACACGCCGACGCGCGTACTTTTAAGTTCCCGCCAAATACAATCGGAGGCGAAGTAAGGAAATAATTCTTCTTTGACGTTTCAGACTTCAGCATGGCTGACTGCAAGTCAAATCACTGCAGAGAAAAGCAAAGAAAAGAAAATTTTCAACGAAAAGAATCGGTGAGTCTGAAAAGCCCTGAAAAGTCCGCTCCTATATTTCATTTGAGAAATATTTGTCCTGTCTAATAGTCGAATTTATTGGAGTGTTCTGTTTCTTTATTGTAAAAGCAGAAACACAAGTTGGTCAATAAAGCAATTCCAAACATTGCAAACGCCATTAGAACGGTTGTTGATGTTAGTGAGAACGAGGATTTCAAAGCTAACTGTTTCAACCTTTTAAAGGTAAAAAAGACTATATGCTTTAGTATCGCACTTTGTAACTGAAGACTTTTTAAATTGATCCATGATCAATTCAACCTCGCCTTGAAACTGAGCTGGTTTGTTTCGTATGAGCTTTTTCCAGCAGCTTCATTTCCCAGGTAGGAAATGAGAACGAATTCAAAGACGTTATGACTGAACGATTGTGGAATATTGCGACCTCAAGACTGGATGTGAAACAACATGACGGCAGAGGCCAGGTAAAAGACAAAATTAAAAGTCTTTCATTCAGTCCTTCAACTCTACGAATGTTTTACTAATATATTTTTGAACCAGATAGTACCACATATGAAAGTCGTTGAAGATGAAACAGAAGAGGTAGGTTGGATATTCCAAAATTTAGTCGGTTATCTAGACAAATTAAATCGTGGGGAAGTATTCATGACACCAAATGCCTTAGGTATGATAATATCAATAATAATGATGATGATGATGATATCCATTCACTTATTGAAATCCATTCGCTTATTGAAATTGAGGAAACCAATCCCAGTGAAGAACTAAGTGGGTCCTGTTTTGATGATTTATCTGGAGAGATATCAATTTACGAAGATTTCAAAAGCAAAGAGAACTGCTTTACAGGAAGTGAAAGAGGCAAAACAGGACCAAGCACTTGGGACAAGGACAACAATTCTTCATTTGAAATGTTGGCGGATGTGCAGTGGAATTAATGAGAAAAGGAAAGCCAGACAAGCCCATAAAGGTACACTGTACTCAACGTACCTTTATATTTAAAGGACAATGCACAGAAGTCAACGACACTTCAGAGCGAAATAAGGGCTTTCTCTCTGACGAACGGCTTACACTTGAAACGTAAGCTTGGAAACCCTTTTACAGTGGCCAATTTATGTTACAACTCGTTACTAAACCTAAATTACCCTGTTATACTCTTCCACGGATGCAGCACCACAGCCTTTTTAGAAACTTACCCTTTTATTCACTTGTGCACCAAGTTGGTTGTTATGTAGCAAAACATAAAATTGAAGCAGCACCACTGTGTTGACTTGTAGCTCAGGTTTTTCTCAAACTTCATTCATAAGATATTGGGTTGACATATAGTGCAAGCATTTGGTACATAACACTTTTTTTCTTTTTTTTTCCTTGAGAGAGGTAAAATGGCAAATGGTCTAAGTGGCAGGCCATTCACTATCTCCTTTGTGGATTGAACTCTATGTAAAAATGCACTAGATCAGTTAAGTCAAGACCATTTTACATGTTCTGTCTGTGTATTTATTTGAAAAAAAATTGACTAACCCATCCACTCTAAATTACAAGAAATCCACACTGGTTAGGACAGCAGGAGTAATCAAAGAGGCAGTTCTTGTGCCAGTTACTCAAAGCTACAAGTTCTCAAATTCTTCACTGTCCTATCTATCTTCACCTATTGACTTGATACTTTGGCAAAACTTTTCATTCTTCAACATTTTGCTTTTTTTTCTAAAAAAAAATTATTTCAAACTAAATTCTGTTTGGAAAAAACACAATAAAAAGTTTCCAACAGCAACTTCATAACCAGTTCAATCAATCAGAAAGTAATCAAACAAGAAATATAAATTAACTGCTTCATCCCAAAAACAAATCACAGGTACGTGATTGCCAAAAAAACAACAGATAAATGTCCTTCTCTTTTACTTAATATATTGTAGTCATATTGGGATAAGGGCCAGACTTGATTTTCTCTAGGATGATTGGTGCCGTTATTCCATATTAAAAAAAAATTACAATTGAAGTAATATAAATTACTGGTTTTGATTTTGATGAAAGAGTTCTGTCTCATCTTTACTTAATTAAAGATACTATGAGTAATTCTGTTGCTGTAAGTTCAACAGTTTAAAGCCAAGGCTAGTTCTTCAGAAAACAGCATCAACACTTGTCACTAATGAGAGAGTTTTGAACAGTATTTTCAAATCTCATAGTACTTGGCCCACTCCTGTTATTTTTGACATAACACCTAGAAATATTCCAGCAGCACATCCCAAGACAGTAAGGAGATTTAAATGGCCATACATCATATCTCTTATTAAAAGCCCTACTTTTCGTGAAGAAATTTTATTTTTTGTTCTTGTTGTGTACCTCTGGACCTCTTGTCTCAGACTTTGTAAACCTTCATCCTGATGACAAGGAAGTAATTGTGTCAAAACATTAATTTTCATGAGGAGATTTTAATTCTGTTAGACAAGAGAAGCCCTTGGGCATAGAAAATTAGGATTAAGGTAACAAACCTAAGGCATCAAAGAACCATATAAATACATTGTTCAAGCTGATTTAAACAATATATGAAAATAAATAGTTTGTGCATGGAAAGGTGAAAGATTTATTGTCACCGTTAGCAAAACCCAACAGAAAAAATTGTGCGAAACTAAAATTAGACGAGGCAGATTTCTCTTGCAAAAAAAAATTTCAAGCTACTTTACTGTGACCCCAACAAGCCTTTTGCATACCAGTGGATCACAGAGCCATTTAAAAGGCATTATTGTCAAATGCACCTACCTGAATAAAGGATGAGCATCTATCCATTATAAGTGGAACCACTTCAGTTAAAAGTTCTACCACATATGGCTTCACTAGTGGGCAGAGCAAAGAAGGATTTATACCAGCTCCAGATAAAAGCTGCCCTTCTGATGAGATCAATAAAGAATGAAGCTCTGCGGTAATAAGGTGATCAACTGTCTCTGACTGCAAAATTCTCTGTAGCTGCCCTTCAATGTTTAGACGAATTATTTGTTGATTTAGTTTTTGGGCACTGTATAATTCAAGAAATGTCCTCTCAAAATAGGTGTTGATGACTGAACTCTTCACACTTTCAAAAATAACTTGATAGTGATGAAAAACAATCCTGATGAGAGGAAAAAGATTTTCTGTCATTCCCTGAAGAACTATAAGGGAGTCGTAGATGAATTATGCAAATGATCAGAACATGATGCCTTGTACAACAAAAGATTGGTTTGAATGAGATGTATTGATTTTCAAGGTATACACAAAATTGCTTATTAAGTAACACATTCAACATGAGACTTGATGCTCACAAAGATATTCAATTTGATTGTTACTGCAAAAGGGAATCTTAGCAAAATGAGAAACTGGAAACTATGTGTAGGTACAGGGCACATAGTTTTAATTAAGACCAGAAGTAATAAAAAGTTTGCAGCTTGTCACACGTTTGCCAAACACTGGTTGCCAAATAGGCAATTTAAGCTACAAATTTGGCAGCCAAAATTTTTTTCACTCACCCTTATCACCATAATGGTGGCACCTTGGAATACTCAAGGTAATGCCACAATGTGAGGCTGGATTTGGAAAATTGACACACCCTCCGGAATCAACGAATTTAAAGATGAAAACGGTTCCTTCTCATATGAAATGATACCAATTTTGGAGGTTGTTGCCATTATAACTTGAATGAATTATAATTCTCTACCAGAAATTGGGAAAAATAGGGTTCTCACAAAGCTTTGGTCCATTTATGGACTGATCAAGGCCAGACGATGATGTATTAATTAGGAATAGTCCACACAAAGTACCTCAAACAAATAAATTTGTAAATAAGAAGATTCAACTGAGATCAACTAATTCAACTAATCACCTAAAAGGTGAAAAAAAATGCAAGATCAGAGCCAGACAGTAACATTAAGTATCACCCCAACTGCACTCATTTGAATTCGTTTTTGTTGAAAATAAAAAGATAAACAATAAAAAACACAAATTAATTCACAAAAACTAGTTTCCTGTAGTAACTGACCATAGTTTGCATCAGTCTCTAACATATATAACTAGTACAGTTGCTAACAAGAGAAAAAAACTGTCAAATTTTAGGCTCAAAGTTGCCGTAGTGCTATTATGTTTGTATGCATTTCAAATAACTGAATCTTACCCACTTCCAAGGATACCTGGAACTTTCTTAAAAAATAGAATCACTGCCACATAACTGATACAGCCTCCTGTAAAACCAAATGTGCCACAAGAGAAAAGGTATTGTGCTACATCATGCCTCTCAGTAGACCTTGAATAAGATGTGAGTGATAAAGAAAACAATCCAATGATACTCAAATTTAGACAGATTAAGATACAAGCCACACCAGTGCATGATTTCCAGTGGAAAAAGACATAAAATAGAAGAGGAAGTCTCTTTTGTGTTGCTGCATCTTGTCTCTGAAGAATTGGGTCGTGAGACAGCATAACACTGGCATTTATCTGTCAAGAGATCAAGCATTCTCAATCATTACAATACTTAGATGTCATGTCTAATCAGCAGTACATGAAATACCTGTAAAATAAATCAAATTACAGTCAAGGCCTGAATTATCATCATAAAACATCACTAATACAACGATAGATGGTGTGAAGGAGTGAATGGACGCTGAATGAGGCATTAGTCAAGTTATCTGAATTAATGATACCTGGGAGTGATGTTTTCACAAGAAAAAGAATATCTACCTATCATAAAATAGTTTTTCCTAGAGTAGAACAGAGAGAGCTTCTTCTGTGATTCGAATACCTCAAATGTCAATCTAGTTAACATCTACATAGTGTCGTAAAGAGGAACTGAAAGTCACATGCTTACATGAATATTATGTCAGCTGATCACTAAGGACGTCTCAATAGGGAATATATTAACTAGCTGTACTATGACAATTATCATACCTTAGTGATTAAAAAAACCCCTTAATCATCAAGAAGAATACTTCATTTCGAGATAAGGATCTTGAATACTAGTCTCTCTGCTACTTAATAAAGAGGTCTGGTTCAAGACAATGTCCTACCTCATCCACTCTACTTGAAGCTGTTTCACCCACCGACGTCAGCTCTGTTCTTTCCGCGTATAGACTATCTAAAAACGTTCCATAACCTTTTTGCGACATCACACACTAGCATCTGACACATATGCAGCCCTTACAACAAGTTTTTCTATTTTCATTGAAGAAGCGAAAATATAGCTGATTCGCATCGCCATATTGAAGCTTTTTTAAGACCCAGTCCCAACCGTGATTTTCTACTTGTTAATTTTAGGTAGGCCCGGGAACTGTGGTTCTCTCTCACTGATAACCGATCGAGTCGCCAAAGTCATGTCGCTCGGCACCTGTGACATGTCGTCCGAAATTTTTTAGTCATGTCGCTCGAAACAAAAACTCAAGCCCCGACTAGCGACTAGGAACCAGTGGCTTAAATACTTTGGTAAAATTCGACAGCGAAAAGAGAAGACAGACAGGTTCGAGATGGTTTGCTTATGTGAGGAGCCTGTCAGGTAACCTTTCGAGTCACCCGAAAGTCATCTCGCCCGGAGTCATATCGCCCCGAACCTGAGTCATGTGGCCCGGAATGTTAGTCATATCACCCGAAATAGAAAGTAAAGTTGCCCGATTTTTTTATCAATTGAAAAATCATCAAAGTGGCTTACTTTAAGAAACCTCTGAAGGTACCGATAGATCGAAATACCCTTTTGGTGTATACAATTATGTTACCAATCCTTCCGTCAATAATGAAATGTCACTGTGAATGCGACCTGATTCAAACGTTTAACGGAAATAACTAGCCAATAAAAACACCGTTTATTTATTTAACCGTGAGAGAAGGACTTAACGGTATCACTTATTGCTTATTTACAGTCTGTGAGTCTGATCTTTTACGTATTTGTTTTTTCAGGCGAAACAACTAAAATTTCGGGTGACATGACTCAGGTTCCTGGCGAGATGACTTCCAGGCGACTTGACCGGTTACCAACCTTCCGATGATACTTAATATATAAAAGCTGGCCAATTATTTAACTTAGTAAAAAAAATTATCGCTTGATTGATTTTCACACCCCTGACGTTTCAAGGAGAACTGTGTAATAGCCAGCAGAGTCTTAAACGTTAGCCAAAAAATGTGCTAAAAACGAAATTTCAGCTCACAAGAAGCATTTAAGTCGGAATTTTACTCTTTGTTCGACAGGAGTCCTTTCTAGAATTTTTGGCTTAGGTGTACCATCTGGTTCTCCAAACCCTGAACCTATTTCAGACCAAAACTGATTGACATTGTCCGCGCCAGTTCCCAGACCTAGTGTCAGTGGGCATACATCATTCAAAATTAGTAAATTCACTAGTAATATGTAACTTGAAGGTATATTCTGGCTACCTATCTATCATTGAAGACACAAATACGCCGATAAGCACTCGTAATTCTCTTGAAAAGGACCAAGTCTGTAAGCATATTACCAAAACAGCTCGTAAAAGTACACCCCATCGGAACGGATTACAAAGTGAATCATGAGGGATGTCCAAGTCCCCAGAGATATCGGCTCCTTTGGTATGTAAATAGTTTACACAACTAACATAAAATATGTTGATTAATGCAAAATTTATATTCAAGAGAATCTTGGTCGCGTAAAAACATTTGATGATTGAAATTCCATTCCAACGTTAAAAGATCCGTCGCCTAGAGTCATTGTTAAGCTGGGAGTTTAACTTTTCTTTTCATAATTCGCTCCTGTCTTGGTTGTAGGGAATCAGGCAGAAAGATATCTTCGTCTTATAGAGTATGCTGAAGTCAGGACATTTCCTCATTTAGCCAGCATGTGTTGGAATTATTTGCCTGTGGGGGCGTAAAAGCTCTATCTTCATCTTCGACGAAGACTGACCAAAAATGGATTGTAAGTTCAGTTTTTTTTCGTCATTTTCCCTTATTCCTTCCTAAAGTCAAACAGAAGGATTCTTAAGTATGAGAGGGTTATTCCAATGACGCTTTTCGTGTCATCGTAGAGTCGTAGTGGGCACGGTCAAAAATAATTCAACTAAATCGACAACAAACAACACGAACGTAGCATAATAGTTTGTATGGTTTTATGTTCTCTCAACCAGCGCGCAAGCGAGTGAGTTTTAACTACATACTATTTCAGAGCAGGGAATAACAGTTTCATGGTCCGTATCGAATGCTATTTTACTGTAGGGATGGATCGCCGTAATATTGTTCGAGTCAGTAACGGCGGTAGAACTTTGTAGCTTTGAGAAAAGTTTGTTAAAGTAACTGAGTACATTTCTAATTCATTTATAATGATGTAATACCGACTTGTATAAAGAAGTAGATCCAGTCCGTAGTTGGTGAAAATTTGTGAGAGTCAAGCAGTTATAAAGTTCTAATTTAACTTGTAATCAGAGAATATCCTTTCGTGCATTCTACGCCCGCTTAAAAGTGAACAAAATCAGAACCTGTTGAATGTGAATCATCTAAGTGATGTAAAATGGGTCGAGACTTTTAATGTTGAATTATACTTGATAATCTGCAAAATTTGGTTCGGTGTAGGTAGTAAGGAAAGCCCAGGTTTTTAGAATAGAATAGAATAGAACAGAACTGGCTCGATGCAGTTGATTGACTTGATTGCTGATGCTTTTGAACAGAAGTCTAAGAATTGAGACGATTCGTACACTGATTAGTTAATGAATGGAGGAAATCAAATGTTCTTGGATAACATAATCATCTCACTTTTTTTAAATTGCTTCATTTCCCGAGAAGAGTGCTTTATTCTGACTTAAAAAGCGAAGAAGATACGAGACTTTAATCGAAGTAGTGGCTTAGAATAATCTTGCTGTCGTTCTTTGTTGTGTAAATTCTTTGCAAGTCAGTCAACCGGACAGCGAGACGTCGATCAATTCATTCTGCTTAATCTTTGAGAAGCTTTCTTTGATAAACTTAAACTACTTCATAAAACTTATGAGCGACATCAATCAATATACCTCTAGTTTTTATCATATCTGGTTTCTAAGCGTTCCTCGCTGAGTGATTATATAAAAAAAATGTATTCACGGTTGCAATTAGCCTTTTAGGTATATTTTAGCGCGCGCGCTTAAATAAAAATCGCGATTTCCCAACTGTTTAACGACCTGTTGTAACCGTTACTTTTTGCAAATACTGCAAAGTCCAGAAGCAAACCAATGATATGACATCTTTCACTGAGATTACTGACGAGTGTTTGGAAACTAATATCGATATTTTGTATAGTTTTTTGCACCCGTTAGAAGAATGTGATGTTGGTGATATGCCAATTCACCCTAAAATAGTACGATTTGAATATTATAGGAAATTTAGTCACACTTCAGTAGCTAAACGGAGTGATGAGGGCAAAACAGAACCATCTCGATCAGCTGACACTGAACCCATAAGTTACGCCTCCGTGTTTCAATTAGATCATTCATCTCATGCAGGACGAAATCAAAAGTTATAAATTATTTTTCAAACTTACGAGACTTCACTCGAGTTATTGAAAACCGTTGTTTTATTGAAAACAATGAGCCTGACCAACTGACAACCTCGCACTTCACATAGATTAAGCAAAAAAGTAGCGCCGATCAAACTTCTTCTTTCGTTTTTAAATCCTTACCGATTGCTGAGTGCCTGCTACAAATGCACACCGGCCACAGTGATCAGACTGGCACTTGCTTTAGCTTTCATAGACGATTTTAATAGCAATTCGTCAACGTCGTGAGACAGTGTAACCGAAAAAAATGGCAAATCAAAAATGGCACCAAACAATTAAAGCAGGTCCAATTGTAGGCTTCATTAAAACTAGCTACGTTTAGCAAGCAAATGTATCAATAAGTAAACTTTGAAATTCGACAATTCCTGTTGCCACAGAAACAGAATGGGGATTTTAAGCATCCATACATTATAGAAAAGTGATTGCAACTGGAGAAACGCACTTCAGTCGCTGATAATCTAGAAGAAATACGTGGAGCTTTTATCATCAGCTTTAATATATGTTATGATCAAATGAATATTGAACATTGATTCACTTGAGGCAAGCATTTAGAAACGGATATTAACACAACACCGGCGGGTGGCGAACCAATGATGTGGGGCTTCATTCCGTCCGGTAAGCGAGGGTGCTTTGATTTAAAGCAGATTGGAGCTGTAAATGATGTTAGTCATTGTTTTATCAAGATATTGCTATTAAGATGTAACGCTTCTGAATGTATTGATCTGATAAAGATAATGATGGTTGCAGTTGATAAAAACAGGCTGCTCTTAGACATATCAGACTCGTCAGTGGCCGCCGCACGGAAACAATATCTTATCTCCAGCCTACGTGTCGTAAAATCTTTGATTTTTCCATGGGAAGTATTCATTTATTATCACCTTCAAATATCACCAGTCTGGTGTTGGTCATCATAAATGAGAACTGTTTTTATCGATTTAAACTGCCGTTAATTACAACTAAAGGGCGGACGTTAACACGGCTCCAGAAGAAAACTATTTTGCCAATACATGGCATTTGTCTTGTTTAGAAATAAAAGCTATATTTTTCCTCCATTGTGCTCCATCTTCTCTTAATTTCAAATTAGCCTTACGAGACCTTTTAACATGAAGAGCCATGATCGTTTATATGACGTCATTACGGTACGAACTGTCATTCGATATATTGGCAGATTGACAAATCGTAATAATTTGTTAATCGAATTTCTTTGCTCTTTTCAAGTTGCCATATCTACCTATTTGGTGGAAATGGAGGATCTTTTCATTGTTCGAGTAAGGGCTTTGAATAAATAACCCATATGATAAAGCACCGATTTGGTTACCGTGTTGCCCAAGTCCTTGATTGTTCACCAAAAACTAAAAAACAAAAAGGAAATAAAAAAGGTTAATTTTACTTGTTGACAGTGACGTTAAGATTTTTCTTGCTTCTAGGGTATGTTCCAGCTGTCATTTTCCTGGTGTTTATCGTGATCATTTTAATCGGCCTTTTGGCTACATACTATTGCCTGAATAAAGAGATGTGTCCCTGCTCCAAGATGGAACCTCCCCAGAAAATCAAGGGCGCTGGATACGAGGAACTAGGAGAGGAACCAGCAGACACTTCTGAAGAGGAAGAAGGCCACGAGGAAGAAAAAGATGGAGTCCCTCCCGGGGAGGATTCCCCAGAGAAGTTGCCAACCTTTAAAATGAATGCTGGCGGGGACGATGTGCAAAAGACTGTCTCTGCATACGGAGACATCCAAGTAGATACGGGACTAAAAGAAGTCGACCAGGTCCCAGTTTTTGGAAGCGTTCATTTCCAAGTTGAGTACTCAATTAATGTGGGGCGTGTAGCAATCACGATCTTAGAGGCTCGAGAACTTCCCTCTAAGAGTCGAGGAGGCAGTTCACATTGCCGCTTCCATCTTCTATTGCTCCCATCAAGACGACAACGCTTCAAGAGCAAGTCACGACCAACGAGGCATCCAAAATTCGACGAGAAATTTGTATTTGATCGAGTTTTACAGCAAGACTTATTTAGAATGGCCATAAGAATCAGGCTTTATGGACACGACAAACTCGGAAAGGAGAAAGCGATTGGTGAACACATACTGCAGCTGGCGGACGTGGCTCAGTCACGTGACATGAAAATGGTCGCGTGGAGAGATCTGCGACCTAAACTTTCAGGAAGTGACTCGCCCTAATTTTTTAGACTTATTTGATTTGTGACTAGTGGTAAAAACAAACAGTAGTATAAGTATCGATAATTGTTCAACTTATTCTTAAACAGTTTTCTGCCTGATAACATTACACATAATGGGATTCCAAGAGAAGAAAACACTCCTAACAGTCGATTTTCAGTGAAAATCATGATGTTCGGAGATATTCTGAATTAATGTTGGGCAATGGTTACATTTTGTCGCTGTTTGCAATTGGCAGACATCTGTATGCTACGCTTTGCTTTGGCAATAAAGCGCAAATACTTTTGTACGAAAATTTACATGTAGTGGTGTATTTGGTTGTTGGTACAAGATTATGCCTAGCTACTATTTGGACTTCATTAGCTACGGAGGAGATATACTGATTTACGGCTTGTTAGTTCAAGAACCTTTTACATTTGAATGCTTTTCACGTCCTCAACTTGAAGCAAGTCACGTGTGGGCATTAGCCCAGAGAGACAAGGGGTTAAAAATATCAGTTCCGGTTCGAAACGATTCTTAGGGAAAAAAATCTACCTTAATTTGATCCTCAAATCCCTTCTCGAGGGTAAAACGAAGTGTCTCTCTTTGTCCAGGAACAATGTTCGTGCATATGAAAATGTTTTGCTTTTTTGGAAATTGCATTACTGCACACTCTATACTAAGTTAATTTTGATCAATTTTGCAACAACTCTGTCTTTTGACTCCTCTTCAAGTCAGAGTCAGAATATTGTTGCAATTTCACATTTTTGGGTTGAGCACCAATTTTTTGGCATACTATGGAGTTTTTGTTACGTGGGAGATGGAATAATGGGACACTTCTCCCAGCCCCAGTGATCTTGGCTTTTTCTAAGGTAAAGGAATAAAGGGTGCGAGTTTATAAAGAAACTGTGGCGCTGCGTCGGTGAACTAACACTCGAAACGTCAGCTTTAGAAACTTATTACGATGACCAGTTTACATTATTATCAACTAAGTTAATAAAACCAAATTTTCTCAAATAAATTTGATTAACGTCAAGAGACAAACCAAAGAACCGCACCACTTATTTCCTTATACTGTTCATTAATTCACCGAAATTTAAACTTGCCTTCAAAAAATTTGTATGAGGTGGTTATTACAGCTAGTTCTAGGAAAATCATAACATTTCCGAGAATTCTAGAAACGTCACATCCGCTCCTGTTAAGCGTTCTGATTGGCTGAAATAATTAGCTCATCGATCAGAACGGAAAAAAAAAAAAAACAACAAATCGAGAATCCATCAGTTCTTCCTGTTGTCGTGGTTCAACTTTAAAAACAAGGCATATAAACATGGCAACAAATCTAAAAGAGAGCTACGATCTTCTTGGGCTTCCAACTGACGCTACCGAAGAAGAAGTGCGAAAAGCGTACATAAAGAAGGCGAAAGAATGCCATCCGGACAAGAATCCTGATGATCCACAAGCCACAGAGAAATTTCAGGCGCTTAGTGAAGGATACGAGAGAATTAATTCAAGCTCGAGAACAGAGTCCACTGATGAGGAAAATTTCAGTGGATGTGATGATTTCTTCAACTTCATATTCTTCCGGGAAATGATGCGAAGGAGGATGAGAGAGGAGATGATAATGAGAATGTTTGGAGGTATATTTGACGACGACATAGGCCTCGAGGGAGTTCACTTCCCGTTTGGAGGGCCTTTATTTAACCGCCCAAGGTCTAATGAATCTTTCGCACGATGGCATCATTCTCGGTTTCAGGGTGAAAGAGTACCCAGTGCACACGATACTTCCACTAAATCGTCAAAGAAGGAAAAGCAGCGTAAAAAAAATCCACGCAAAGCGTCGGACCTAGGACCCAGTGGAGACTTGCACGAACGAGAATATTCGAGAAGACGTAATTTTAGCAACGAGGCAACAACCTCAGATCGTGGAGAAACCATTAACAGCAAATCTGCTGAGGAAAGTTTTCCCGCTAGTAATGAAAAAGAAACAAGTGACAAAAAGCGAGATAAACAACATGATGCTCGAAAGTCAAAGCAGAAAAATAAGAACAAAGGACAAATGACGGCGGCTGAATGGCAAAAGGGACGAAAGAAAAATCACAAAAAGAAGACGGCGAGGTCCTGAAATGCTTGGCCCGGCATCAAGGCCGAAAGTTAAGCCTTGATTCTGTGAAATGGCAATGGGTAACAAAATGATGAAGGATGATGGAATTCTTACGATTGATCCAATTTTTGTATCTTTCTGGAAAGTTCAACGACTCTCTTGACTCCTGAGAGAATCTCGCGTTAGTGACAGAATTGTAAACGGGTATAGAAAGCCTTTTCCACATTTTGTTTCCATTAGTTGTAGTTTCGAAAAAAAATATTGATAATTACCGGGGCCAGCCAAAGGCTGGAACCGGTTATAAAATGCTCTCTGTTCCTTTCGTTTTTTCAATGTCTCGTTTCCAGGGCCCCGCTTTCTACTGTACTATTCCTTGAGTCTGCGAACAGAAGCTGGCAAGCGTTTCTCAGTATTTTGGTGTTCGGCGGTTTCCACGTGGCCTTCGTCACACTCTGATTCTCCGCTACTTTTGCTTGCTTTTTCTCGATCTAGAACGATTTTGTCGCTGCACTTTCCTTCTTCGTGTATTGAATATTAACAAATCTCTTTTTGTTTCGTTTATCACTACGAAATTTACCAAAACAAGGTTGTGTATGTATCCTTAAAGTGTCTCCTGTATTCCGAAAACTAGTCACCAGTCTTCTAAAACAGAAAATGAAGTGTAAACAATACATTTTCCATGGCAACCGATTAAATCGCTTTCAAAAACTTTGAAAATCCACCAAAATTGCCCGTAAATACGGAAAAAACAAAGTGATATTGATTACACTACGTCTAAAGTTTTTAAAAACGCGAGCACCGTGTGCTATTGGAACAAGTCTTCCGGAATTACAATTTTTTTCTCAAAAGAGTATTTGTGATAAAATAGACTTTCATATCGCGCGACAAACTTGGTGATGTAAACAACCCTTATGCATGCTAGTCTAAACGTGGGTTACCAAGGCAAAAGTGGCCCCGGTAAAATTTACGAAGTGATTCTCGTTGATAATAGAACAAAGGAAACTCATTGTTTCACGAGACAAGGCGAGATTGTCTCAAATATTTTGACGGAGAATGTTGGTTTCCACATACTCTGTTTCCTTTAGTTACTGTGATATTGTTGTTAACTGTTCTGGGGTAGACATCTCTCTTTCGGTTTGTAAGAAATATAGGTCCATTCTTTTTTTTCTTTTTTTTTATTGCGATACCTTGGCGACATTTGAGTTGGAAGACAAAGATAACCCCAGCCCTCAAAAATAAAGACCAACAACACTTTTCTGCATCATAGATTCCGCAAACAGAATAATCAAGTTTATAAGCAGGCTTTAAAGAACTCCTTCAACACTTGGTTGAACAAATGTCTATAAATCGTAACAAGCAATACAAGAAAAAATACTAAGCTAGGTCAGGTTAGTTAAGGTAGTTAATTTCCATGAAATTACAGCAAATTCAAATCGTTTTTACTAACATCATCTGCGGTGTTAAAACTGTTTGCTGAAACTTCAGCGAATATTGAATTATTGATTAGTTCGTTATTATAAAAAAAAATGTTCTTGATCCCATCAAAATAAACGTTTTCCGCAACGTCGTTATAATTCATTATTCCTAATTTCTTTGGGAGACTGTTACTGTACATGGTGACATGTGTGTTGTAAATTGAGGAACATAAATGGAAGGGTTTTAATTTATCATTTCAGAATAAAAAATGAATGTCAATCCTAAAAATAAGGACTTAATCCCGAAGCAAATTATACAAATGAACTTCATCAGAAGCTTCAATGATAGTAGAAGAATCGTTATGTTTTAAATAATACTACTGAACAAAAATCAACCACATCCTAACATACTTTTTTTTTTCAATATTTCAAAAAAATTAAAATAAATGAATTAATTTTCGGTGAATAAGTGCTGGAAATCACTTTTCTTTTTTTTATAAACTTATTTGACCCAAAACATTTAGTCAACTCTTTTAACAATAATCTTTTTCATAATAATTTATAATCCTTGAAATCGCTTGGCACATTTCAAAATACAACCTAAAATTAAATTCCTACTTAATGTCATTTCAATTACCATCAAAATAAAGATGATTATGTTTGGAAGTTTATAGATTTTAGATAATATCACTCGGAACTTATTGCTGCTTAATGTTCCTTTCTATGGTTGCTTTATATGATCTACCTTCAATTATTACTTTTCTCTCTAACGAGTGTTTTTTATCCGTAAAATAACTTTGCCACAATATAAGCGTCAAAAAAACTTCTTGCTAACAAAATATGCCACATGAAGAGCCTTTTTTTAAAACCCTTACTAGCTCAAACGTTGTTGAATATTCTCAACTTTGATAAGCGGATGTTTCCAATATCTTCTGTTTCCTTCATAATCTTTATCTATGCACAATCCACGTGCACAAGAAAACTCTGGTCGTTTGAGTTGGAAAATGGAGTTAACAAGTGGTCTCGGTTCGGCCAAACAGGCCAATGGGAAAGTTTTTAATATGAGTAGGCCACTGGGATGACAATGAAAAAAACTTGACCCCACTCCACGTCACTCCGTCAATAACAACTGTAAATAGACGAACAGAATAACAACTGTAAACAGACAAACAGAATAATAACTGTAAATAGACAAACAGAATAAAAACTGTAAATAGACAAACAGAATAAAAACTGTAAATAAACAAACAGAATAATAACTGTAAATAGACAAACAGAATAACAATTGTAAATAGACAAACAGAATAACAATTGTAAATAGACAAACAGAATAATAACTGTAAATAGACAAACAGAATAACAATTGTAAATAGACAAACAGAATAACAATTGTAAATAAACAAACAGAATAACAATTGTAAATAAACAAACAGAATAACAATTGTAAATAAACAAACAGAATAATTATGACAACTGAAAATAGATTAACAGAAAAAAAAATCAGAGACTAAGTGAAGACTAAATAGAGAGCTCACCATTTAATGTACTGCTCTGTCCTTTAGTAGTGCAGATCAGTTTCGACACATTCACCATTACTGGTTGGTTCTTGGAATCAGCGTCTTTCTCTTTGGATTTTTTCATGGAACGCATCATTGCCTCGAGTCCTGTGACAACAAAAAATAGCACCATTTCACACTTTAGCATCGAAGAGAATACCGATCTGTAGTGGAATGCTACAAGACAGTGTTTGGTCTAAATGGCCTAGACTTTGATGATTATTTCGAATTTTGTAGAGGTAAACTAAAGCCAACCATCCACAAAATTACAAACTAAATTAGCTAAAGTTAACTCCTTTAAGGACCCCTTCTTCGTTATTATTACTATTATTATTATTATTATTATTATTATTATTATTAAATTTCAACACCTTACTCGCCACACTAACGGGCTTGCTCCGCCACACAGCCTAAGAATACCCAAAACGTTATCACTGGAATATTCAGAGAACTCTCTGGTTGTTTTTTCTCAAAATCGTGATTATGGCTCATAGTATTGACAAGTAACTCTCTTGCTGATACAGGACTGACTTCCACCCACACATCCTTCACACTAACAATAATAATAGCATTTCAAAAGTTCAGACCTCTTTTATTGCGTTCTTTGGTGACCGCCATTACTGAAAGCGCAGATGATTCCTCAGGAGTTGAAAGTCTTGTAACCACCAGCGTTTTGAAAGTTGTTTTAAGCGAGGACTAAAAATCAAAACAGGGAATGAGACAAAAGCATTAGCAATAACAAATTAGATGGTGCTGTGCAATTGGTGACCTAACTTACTTTGTTGACATCTTTTTTATTCCCCGCTGCAAGCCAGTAGTCCACTTGAAGATCCATCTGTTCACTTGAGTATAGGCTCCCACCACTGCTCTCCTGGAGCCTGGTGGGTACAAAAGTACTGGGCATCAAGAATTATTATTATTACTGCCTTTACCTGAGAACAAAGAGAATAAACCCCTTTATCCATATCACAGCTACAATACCCGAAAACGCGACCAAGCATTAGGGTTGGTTTCCATACGATAGCTGCGATCGTTTGCAATCACAGATGCAAGAGTATTGTGGAGTAGATAATATGATACTACGATTACCGCTGTAGATGAAACTTGCTTTCCGTTTAAAAGCAGATCGCCAGCCACTCTTCCTGGCGATCGCATCGTTATATGGAAACAAAGCTTCAAGTTTAAAGGCAGAAGTAAAACTTAATATGGAGTGGTCCGAAGTTATAGCATTACTAGCCTATTACCATAAACTAAGACAAGTAGCGCAGGAAAACAAGTAATATAATGGGCGAATACAAAATCTGACGGTCTTTATTAGAAGATGAAAGTAATTAGCGTACCCACTCAAAGGAGGGCTTGAAAATGGAGGCGTTTGCGAAGATCCTGGAGCAGGAGCTTGACTGTCACCCCTAGAAACAGCCCCTGTACTTTTGGCTCCAGTGCTCGATGGTGTTCCACTTGTCGCTACAGGTTCTTCGTCTGCTTAAATAAAACTAAGTCAGAATGAAGTTAAACGCTAAAAACGAAGAATTCATTCCAAACAGTGAATTACCTTGGTATATGTCGGCTGATCCAATCCTAACATCCTGCAATGAAAACGTACACGTCAAACTACTGTATATCTTGTTTCATTCCCTATGAATTACGACCAGCCCCCTCCTTGAAAATTCAGCTAGTTAAGGGCGAACCCCCAGTTGGGGAATGGCTCGTTGACAGTGGCCAAAGCAACCTGGGATCCAATTATGGAATGATTGAAACATTTTGAGATTTCTTGTTATTCCTTACCCAGGAATTTGCTCTGCAGATTATCTATTCCCTGAGTTTTACGATAACAAGCTATTGTGTTTCGAGACGAACGAAAGTTTTTTTGAGATAATTTTCTGCGATATTCAATTATTGCAGCAGAACAAAAACAAGGGTGGAAAAGGCGTAACTTCAGCTTTTATTAATTGCCGAGTGGCTGCATATTCAATTTTATTGAGACATTTCATTGAACCCTGATGCGTCTTCAAGGATAACACAAAAAACAAAATCAAACAAGAAGAGTTTGGCGATCATAGTGGTTAAGTAATTATAACCTATTTTTTTTATTTTAAAACCACAGTCATAGTCATAGTCAAGAATGCTGACCCTTTAAACATTTTTATATCTCATGATACGATTGTACCCAAAAACAACCTAAAAGAATAAAATTTTTGGTTAATGTTTCATTACTTTTCACTCAATCGTCCTACGCTTTACATCGAATTGATTACTTACACAAACAAAAGGCAAAAACACTTGGGAAGATCCTTCCTCTGATCTAGAAGATGAACAGAAATACAGCATGACAATACGAGCTTTTCGTAATCAAGCATTCCAAGCAGACTTGGATATATTCCGTTGGGGCGTGCTTTAAAAGCTGAGTACAGACAGCCCTATCTGTCGGTATCACCGAGCTAAAATATCGCCGCAACCAAGGGAGAAATAAGGCAATGAAAGTACACCAGTTATCGCTCACCCTTTTAGTTTTGTATTCACAAGAGCCTCAGCAATCGGTAAGTTGTGCGTGATTGTCGCTGCTGACATCAGAGTTTTAACTCGCCTGCTCACCTCCTCGAAATCTAACAGAACAAAATTCCGAAAGGTAATCAGAGACGATAATAAGACTACAATGACACAATAGTACAGTATGGTATATCAACTACACCAAAATAGTATTATGGGTAACTGGACAACAACATTATACTAGAGAAGTAAAGTAACCACGTTACAATAGGATATATTTTTTTACACTTCGGTGGTGCCTTGGTGAGAGCACTCACCAACCACCAGTAGTGTCGTCTGGATTCTACAAGTGGATATATCCTTGATCTGCCAATACGATTCACTCAAAAGAGGAATGTGAAAGTATCACCACAGGAAATAGCATAGGATAAGTAGTTAAATTATCTTTTCGTTTTCATATAAACTATCTCGCTTAGAGTAAACAAAAGCTAAAAAAGACCTCCCGACTTACCAATAGCAGTGTCTGAATGCTCAAAAGCTTCTCTCCAAAAGTTATCCATAAAAAGTGAGTTGTACCTTACATCTAGTCCTCCAATGTGCCTGGCCAGAGGTTGGCCGTCTGAAAACAATGCAGACCAACAACAGTAAACCTTGAGAACCAAAACGTTGTCAAGGAACAACATAGTCTGGCTAATACTTATAGCCAAGGTGTATTCCTTCCCATGACAATTCCAAGCGACATGATATGGAAGAAATTTCACAGGTTAGAAAGTCTTACTACAAATTGCACTCAATAGTCATTGTCTTCTCAATTCACTTGAATGGCCTTTTTTTTCCTTTTTTTAGCTACAGACCATTTTTGGTTTGAAGAAAACTTACCAAGAGGAATAAGGAGAAATCGAAGAAAAGTCTGCCAGTCTGGTGGCTTGGAAGAAAAGTATTCCACATACGGCTGAAGAACAGCACTAATATACGACTCTGTGCCCGCGATGGCCACACCCAACTGAGGCGGGGAAGCTGAATGAGTATTTATACTAGCAAAAGAAACAGGATTGTGAAGAGAGTATGAAAGACAAGACCTGTCAGTCAAGTCAGAAAATTTATAACGTCTGAGACTCTAACTCATTGGAATATCTCAGTGAATTTGTGTAATTTATATTTACTGTGGTGGATTAAGTTAGCTTACATAAGCCTTTCCTCATTTCTATAGGGAAAAGCTACTATTTTATCAAAAGTTAGCTTTCCTCCATTCGAAGTAAGGGGTGAACTCCCGTTACCGGCTGACAAAGCAGGTCAGTTTCTTTACAAACTAACTGATTCATTCATTAATACATATGCAGAAACAAAAGTTTTCTGTAGTCACAAGAGAGATAGAAAAACGTGGCATATGGAAATAAACTTTGCTTACAATTTCTGGTATCTATTGACAATGGCTAGAAATACAGCCTGCACATCAGAACTGGATCTTGTACAAATCATCTTCACAGCTTTGTCACAGAGCTTCAATGCCAAAAGCTGCACAAAATAAAAACAAACATGTGCTGTCAACTTTTTAACACACAACAAAATTCTAACATAATTTCAGCAATCATGTGAGAGATTTTTAAACCTATTTAAAATTTGTGAGTTTGAACATAATGAGCTGGTTTTTCAAACAAAGTCAAGCCATTGTTGAACAAAACCATGTTCTTGGTCATTTTCAACTTTACTTTTATCAGAACATTTATTTTTTTGAACAGTGTGAAGGAGTTAAAAAACTAGCAGTGAAATGCCATTTATTTAATTAAATCAACCCTCTCATAGAGAATTCATGAAGTCCTCTACTGGCATAAAAACCATGGTTTGGGTTAGACCTTGTGTTCATAACCAGTCCAATAAGTTTAGTCAGATTCTTTTCTTTAAAAAAAAAAAAAAAGATCTGAATTTGAAGCGAGATAGAGATGCCTAGTAATAATCCCACCACATATTTCAAATAAAACATCAGCAATAAATGTTTGACAATTACCTGGCCCTGCCACTCAGAAGTACTAATCAACAGAATGCATTCAGGAATGTCACTATCCCCAGACAGCACACTGCTAAGTTGTTCATTCAAGGTGCCTCTGGGTAGCTGACAAAATAAAATACTCTCAACTTAACATTTCTTTGTAGAGTTGAATAAAAATCCTTCACCTATAAATTACATCAATTTCAACAACAATAAGACACATTTGGACCCACCTGCAGGTCAACATCACTATTTCTCCTCTTTGTTAAGGTGTCTGGCTCTTCTGTTTTCCTTCTTTCCTTGAATGACACACTGCGACGAACCGAGGGTGTGTCATCAACACCTCCAGGCCCCGATAAAAGGTCAGATGAGTTTGTGATGTCTGATAAGTTATCTCCATCAGAGTGTGGGCTCACATCCTTGAAACAAGAGGACCACTCATGGTCTGAGATCAAACTGAGCAAACCTCCTACATGTGATTATTCAGAGAGCACAAAGAAAGGAGAAACAGACATCTAATCCAATCCTTCCAAGTTTTGATCTCAGTTTCCCTTCTATTTTTTGTGCTCCCCAGTCTCACTCACTCACTCCTCCATCTCACTTGTTCCCCCTTGTCACACTCACTGCCATGTTTTACTCACTCCACCCTGTCTCTGTACCTCCCACTGTCTAGGTCACTCCTCCTGCCTCATTCACTCTCCCTGTCTCTGTCCCTCCCCCCTGTTTCACTCACTCCCTCTGTTTCACTCACTCCCCTGTCTCACTCACTACCCCCTGTCTCACTCACTACCCCCTGTCTCACTCACCTCCCCCTGGGACACTCACTCCCCCATCTCAATCACTCCGCCTGTCTCACTCACTCCCCCTGTCTCACTCACTACCCCCGGTCTCACTCACTCCCCCTGTCTCACTCGCTCCCCTCTGTCTCACTCGCTCCCCTCTGTCTCACTCACTCCCCCCTGTCTCACCCACTCTCACCACACTACACCATCATATGCTCACCATTTCATGATCTGGCTGCAGGTCTTCTCCTTCCACTTGAATAGCAAATTGTGGACAGTAACTGTTTCCTTGACCAACCTAAAATACAGAAAACTCATTTACACACTTGAATATTACCAAGCTGTTTTGCATTCATTGGCAAGTTATGCATTAGGAAGGTTTACTTACAAAGTAATTTACCACTTGGACAAAAAGGAATAAGTTAAAATATGCTTCCCCCAACATATTACTTCTCAGAGCCAGAGTATTCATTTCTCTGAAATTACAGCTATGTTCTGCTTTCATCAACTATAAGGGTAATTAGCCTGGTGTATACAGTAAAAAATGATGTATCTTGCAAGTAGCAGTAACAAAGCCCTCCTTGATAGTAACAAAACTTACCAAAGAATGACTTGGTACATTTTCAGTAGAACTTCTGGGATCAAAGTAAGGTCTAAAAAAGTTAATTATGACTGTTGGTCAAAAGGAATGCTCAGCCTTACAAATTGAAGGAAATCCTAACTGTTCCAAACATTCTAGAAATACCTCAGTGATGGTTTAGGTGTTGACACAATGCTAATGGTGTCTTCAAGAAAGTCATTTTCTGCATCACTGTCCAAGTCCTCCAGATCATCAGGAAAAAGGAAATCATCAGCGGTTTCATTTTCTGGAGGACTGATGTCAATATCTGGGTATGTTCCCATTTCACTTTCTAACTCCTAAAGGTGAAATGAATTAACTTGTGACTTTACTTTTTCATACATTCATGTAAAAAGCATGAATGTCCACAGAACAATTTTTGGTAGTACTTACTTCCTCTGGAACTTTAAACTTCTTTAAGAGTGCGATAAACTTTTGTTTAAAATTCTTTTGGTGCTGTATGAAAACAATTTATTAATAGAATTACATACAACATCACTAAAAGCCTGGCAATCTAAAACATGTGGCAAGCATTGCATAAGATTACTTATACCAGTCAGCATTAACAAGGCATGAGGAGGGCATGGGGTCAGACTAAGGAACAGACCCTGTAGGAAATTTGTTTAATTCATCATTTCTGCTCACTAACCCACTTACTTCACAAAACCTGTTACTGTGGCAACATGTAAAGTGAGCAGTGCTGAGTTTCATGTAAGATCACCACAAGTTTGTGTGTATTTTAAGTGATATTTGATGTAAATTTGGTCATAATTTGGCCCTCCATTTGTCTGGGAAAGAAGGTACCTCTTTGGGAATGAATGAATGAATTTTGTGTTTTGGCCTGCCATGATGCTTGACCATATGTAAAGCAACAAAGTTTTCCCTTAGTGATGATAATTACAAGAAAACCTGGGTGCAATGTATACAAGAAATCAACATTTACTTGAATTTACTTTGAAAAATCAAATCCAGAAAATTATGGGCAGTTTTTAGGAGAAATTTCTGGGTAACAATAAATTACATGCCTATACTTTAATCCTTTGTTCTTTGGGTACTTCACAGTCACCATTTCTCACTCATTATTTGAAATCAAGGTTTTACCCCTGATTTCTCTAATTGCAACCAAATATCTATGTTGGTGTGGGTCTTTGCCAAGACCACCCATAAAACAATCACTATTGCTAAAAAAAATGATCACTATTGCTGAAATTTCTTCAAAAAGCCCATAAAACTTTTACAATATGACAAATAATTGAGAAATTTGACTATTTCCTATCTGAAGAGAAAGAATGAACAGACAAATAACTTTCTCAAATCTTAGCACCATTAATGTATATATCAATAAGATATTTAACAAACTGTTGGTGAATATTGGAGCTGTGTCAGAAATTAAGCTAAGTGAATATCAACCCAACATTGTTTGGCCTTTTCACTGTGAGTTGCTGCAACCATTAATGGACTGGAAACCAGCACTCAGGCAAACCATAAAGAATTCAGGCAGATAATGACCAACAGTTCCGTGGAATGAACCAAAGCAGGCTATTCAAAGAAGCTGATAGATAATTATGTTCAATGACTACATTTAAAGCCTCTTTTTTATTTAATAATACCGTATAGTTTTTATTACAAAATCTGATCAGCTGAATTTTCCAAACCTTTGCAGGAATAGTGATTTTTCCATGTCTTATTTTCCCACCTTGTCTCTGTTCCACATCTAGAATATCCTTTAAAATGCAAATTTTAGAACAGACTAATTTAAGTGTTGGAACTTTGTGACTTGTTACAAATGATATCCACTGCCTAAATACAGTCATTTAAAATGTGACCAATAAAACCCACAACCCAAGATTACAAATGAACCAAAGAACTAAGATTGAAATCAAATTTCTCTCTGTTAATTGCTATTTACAGCTGGTGATCTTTGGTGGTAATGAAAATCATTGCAAGACATTGAGAATTCAGAGTAATAAACTTACAGCATCCCCACCACTGTCACTTCCTTCCTGGTCAGACAGTGAGAAATCATCATCATCATCACTAGAATTGTCATCACCATCACCTGAAATGTGAAAAAGAAGAAGAACATGTAATTAATGGTGTGTACAGGTAAAAGTATTTTGTTAAATAGAACCGGGGCATTTTTTAAATTTGAATTCAAGAAACTCTTTAAGTCTTGCACATCATCATTAAAACAAACCCTGGTGTTAAATAATGGTAATTGTGGCCAAGGTTACACCAAATAATATTGAAAATGATGTACTTCAACTACCTCTGACTAATGATCCAGTAAGTCTGACTCCATCTGTTTCAACTGGTTGACTGAAAATTAATACAGAAAAATTAATACATCAGATTTTTCCTATTAGAAAAACTAAAACAAAAACAAAAATTATTGTTTGAAAAATTATCTTGAAATAGAAACAAAAAATTGAAAAATTAAAAAAAAAAACTTAGACTGTTCTCCCGAATGCAAAACACCTAATTTTTTCAAATATGAGCTGTTGAGACATCTCCTGTCTAAACATACCAGTGACTATAGTTGAATGTGAGTAACTGGCTGTGATTGGTATGACTTTGTGACATAATCATTACATCACTTAAATTAAATATTATTAATCTTTATTTTGGTGCACATAAATCAGCTGAGGTATGTAAATAACAGCATCATATTTGAGCCTCATACTAATTCCAGTTTCCACAATACCAAAAGTGTGAAAATTATGTTAAATTTTATGGTGCTAACTTTTAATATTTCATCGAAAAACTGCATCACAATGGACAGGAACAATGTTGAACTACATGATGCATTACCTGGTAAGGGAATTGACAGTAATCAGGGCCACTGGAACAAGACTTCCTTTCGTGTACAACTTGAGTTGATTGTCCACTGAGTGCTGGAGAACCTAGTGAGACATCAATGAATATTATCATAAGCCCGACAAGAATTGTTACGACACAGTGAACCTTTTTTTTGTCTTGTCACGAACATGGGACAAAGAAAAAAATTCTAAGTCCCCGTGAAGAATGGAACCTTGGACCTTTGGATTCCACACTCCAATGCTCTACCACTGAGCCACAGAGACTCCACAGTGAGCGAGGTCTATCACAAAGTTGATATGACACACATCCTGCATATTGCTAGGATCGGCAATGTTGATAGCATAATATTTGTAGATAGAAATAAGGAGTGGAGTCTCTATGGCTCAGTGGTAGAGCATCAGAGCACAGAATCTGAAGGTCTGAGGTTCAATTCCTCAAGGGGACTCAGAATTTTTTCTTTGTCCCACACTCCTGACAAGAAGAAAAAAACATCTTTCTCTATTTCTTTCCCAAGCTAAAAACCTACCATCTTTCTTATTTCTATCTTCAATGAACCTTGTTTCTCAACAAACATACCATGTAGCCATAACAGATTTAAATACTTAGAAATGAATACCAACCTGTCCCATGTTAACAAGGCCTACAGCTAGTGTTTTAAATCCAAGAATTGTGCGATTCTTGTACTTCTTTCGTCGTTGAAGCATGACTTGAAGATTGTTACCAGCTCTCTTCAAAAAGTGTGGATACTGAAACAAAGAATAAAATAATCACAGTCTGCAAAGTGGAACTGCTCTGAAGTTGTAAAACAATATCCAGCAAACAGGTAATGAGAATACTCAAATGTATCTTGATCAACACTAAATTCTCGCAACTAATTTACAAAGAAATGTGTAGCAGCTAGAGTGGAGAATTAACAATCAGATCTTGGGAGTTAAGGGTTAAAAAGTCATAATTTGCATACTCTAGCAATAGGCTTCATGTCTGCTTTTAGGTTTTTTTTTTCCCTTTCATTAATGATTTTTTTCTTTTAATTGTCAAATTCAAAGGGGATAATTTGCAAACCAAATTATCCATGATGCAATAAAAAATATAAACTGCCGAGCTGGTTCAAGAGCTAAAGACCAACACACCTCTTTACCTGGTATATTGATTGAAACAAGACTGTGTATCAGAATGCACGAGCGCTTCTTTGTCTGATTATGTAGTTTTTTTTGCAGTACAAATGTGCCGTGCAATACTGAGAAATTGCCCTAAATCATACCTATAGACTAAGCATCAAAGAGAAAAAAAAGCATGCTTCTTCCTTGTTTTTAGTACCACAGGTACATGTAAGTCACTCAATTATTTTTCACCAATATTTAACTTTTCTATAAATTCCTTTAAATATCCCAGTGAAAGAAAAGTGTCCAAAGATTTTTCCAGCTTTGAGTACTAATTCATCAAGAAGCTCAGTGTAGCTAATTCATGATTCAATTTATAACAATTCTTTCTCCTAGTTTTTGTTTCAGAAATAAGGTTTCTAACAAAAATTGCTATCCATGTCACTCAAAAACTGACTAATCATATGACAAGAAAATATAAATTCAAAGTGAAATTGATCTAAGTGGTCATGGGTGGACAAAATACTACAGTAAAAAATAGAAAAGAAAAGAAAAATAAATGTCTATTGGAAACATAAGGAGTTATGAAAAGAATAAAATTAAGGAAGAAATTGAAATGCTGTCAGTGATAAATATATAAGATATAACCTGGATATCTGAGGTAGAAAATTACCTCAGATGTAAAGTGAATAAGTATAGGCTTATTAACTCAGTTTTCTCATGACTCCTTTCTCTCTTTCTTTAACATATGTTTCAATCTAAATACAAAAGCTACATCTGAAATTACAGAGTAAACTAATTATGCAATTTCCATTTTGGAATTAGCCTTTTTAGGATTTCTCCTTATGGGAAGCAAAACTATATAATATATTGTTTATGCCTATTTCCTGCAAGTCTGAGCAGACAGGTGAGATCATCATTTTTGTTGTCTGAATGGAAAAGTTGCCTGTCCCAAATACACAGACGGCCCATCATTTTCTTTTTCTGAATGGAAAAGTTGCCTGTCCCAAATATTCAGACAGCCCAAGTTTCCTGCCCTAGTTACCATATTTTTAAATCTATAATTATCTTCATTAACTGACCTGCAGAGAAAAGGATAGATCCAAATCAGTGTCAATCAAACCAGAGGATGGAAGAACTATCTCATTTGACCTAAGTGTTCTGCGGGAGCTCTAAAAAAAAACAACAAGTGTATCTATCAAAGATTAATAATAATAACTATGTGTTGAATTACTGTAAATTCTGTTTAGTGTGTTTCTTACATACCCTATTCAAATATTACACTTTATAGCATTAATTATTTAATGGTTTATTTACCTGCATTGAGACTGAGATGATTACTTCAGTCAAACTTGGTTCTAAGGGTTTCAACAACTCCAGTCGAGTTAGCGTCATTGTACACAGCCTGAAACATAACTCAACTCATCAACTTTCTCATTTGACAACTTCCAAAGAAACATTTTCATGGTGGAGAGTACAATCATTGAATCCTGGAAAATTGTTATACTTGCTTTTATTGATTCTGATTCTGTGAGTAATGGTAACAAGACTTTGACAGTGACTATCAATCCACTTTTATCCACATTAGGTATGAGCTTTGCATTAGTCACACTGAACTTAATTAAAAGGTTGGATTGCTGAATTGACTCTATTTTCTGTTTCTCTGTATAACAATGCGTGACTATATAATTATGAAAGTTCAGAAAAAGGTAAAAACGGAGTGATAAACCATACTCTCTTGTCACTAGTCAGTGGTTAACCAAGGTAATATACCCAAATATAAGATGGGACCCTGTGTGATGCTTTATATTTCAAAAGGAAAAAAATACTCTTGCCCTTACAGAAGTTTACCTTTCATTACCAAAACATAAGGCTAATGGGAAATGAGGAAGCAAGAGAAGAATTGTCAAGAAACAGAGGCCTTTTAACATCACACCTCATTGCTACAAAAATGACAGTTTACAGGGAATATCTGCCAGTTAATTTTCATAACCTAGAATTTTATGAAACTCACCCACAAAGACCCACAGCTTACAAAACAATGCTAAATATCTTAATGTTACATTTTGGTAGCTCATTCCCATATATTTGGTCACATTTAAAACCTCACAAGAAATAAATAAATGGAATCCAACAATGTCTTTTTTAATAAATATATTTAATACCAAAGAATTAGGCCTAACCACAAAATAAGATTAAGAGAGAATAAAATCTGTTTTGATTCCTAGAACACTTGCCAGATGTCTCTCATCAACAAAACAATAATTTATTAGCTTGGGAGGAATTTGCATACCTGCAGATTTTAGGTTTCTTATATTCTTTCTTCCTTTTTTTAGCTGATGGTTGAAATTTTTTAAAATCAACAGAATTATATTTATTGATGAAGCCAGTAAGGATTCTAAAGAGAAGTGCATATTTTTAAGTCAACCTGAGCAAAAATTGCCTTTATAGCACGGAACCAAACTTAAAATTCATGATTTTTTAATATGCAATATATAAATATTTGTGTATACAATGTTCAACATGATAAATTGGAATTCTGAATATCTAAGAGAAAGAGACAGCAGTTTACATTAGCTTGCTTTTTGACACAACGGTGTGAGCTAAAAATTTTGTAGAGAAAATGTGTCAATTGCTAAATCAGTATCAACCCCAGATAATTGAATAATTTGCTTTGAAGTACTTGAACCACAACTTACTCTCAGTGCAGTTTTCAGCCACAGCAGAGATTTCGTTTGTTCCTTCAAGAACATAAATAATGCGTAAACCGTAAAACTAAAACTCTGATGTTATTCGAACGTTAAGGTGGAAAAGAAAAAAAAAACATCGCCGAGACTAATATTCTCTGAATAGTGCCCGTCCGTGATCTTTGTTCATATGATCCAAATAAAATTTAGAAGAACACATGTCGACAAAAAATTGATAATTTCATTTCAGATATTCAAAACATTTTGAAAACCGAATTTGGCAGAGACAAATTCCAAAGTAAATAAATTTACAAATCAACAGATTTTTGTTAAGGGCAAGTTTCCTGGGTGCATATCACACCTCGGTTAAATTGCTACTTCCTTGAGAAAAATTTGAACGAACTGCTACAAAAAACTCCACCATAAATCTGCAAAATCGTAACGGTTTATCGCAACAGCATACAGCACGTGTTTGGTGATGACAAAATGGAGTAAAGTTAGACATTCGTGATTTCAATCCAACAAATAAAAGATCAAGATTGAGGGCAGTCATTTCTTTAAATACACGTTACTTACTTAGACCTGGGCAAGGAGACCTGCCTACATAAGCTTTAATACAACTGTTTTAGCTTGCTACATAAACAGATCTTCAGCAATAGACTCTCACTGCATAAGACTCAAGCCTGAGTCAACAGGACATGGTCTTCGGGAAAAGTGTAAGCTTACCTTCAAGTGATTGCAAAAGTGCCGATACAAAAAAAATAGTTTTCAAAAGCACTCACCGCGGTACACAGTTTGGCGACGTTCTCTCGACTTCCCAAGTGGCAAACAATTTCATGGGAACAGGTCTTTGGGGAGTGGAACCGGTCGAAACATCTCGACGAGTTCCCCCTGTGTCCGCCATATTGAGTCGATCTCATTGTTTTGGTGCAGTACGCTTGCGCATTGAATATGAACTTCCGGTAAAGTTAGGAATGTCAAGCAGCTTGAGATACCAACCTACACTGAACCTGAACATTCACTCAAGCAAAGTTGAGTAAATTGGAAATACTCGATTTCTATCAAAATTCAGCGAAAAATATTCCAAACATACGATAAACCCCCTCTCTCCCGAAAAACCAGAATGAAACGCATTTATTTTCCTCAGGATGTCTTATTCAGTAGCAGAGGCAGGACATTCTTCAATCGAGATGTGAGTCGGTAAAGGTTGAAGTTACGGTACATGACCCCCGGTAAAGAGTGCCCTTATCTTTGTGCCGAGCCTTTTTCCAAATATCCAAATATTGTGCCATAACGAAATTCACATTTCACTTTTGTTGTTTTACCCTCGTTGAAAATTGATTCAAAAGTCCATTTCCATGCAAGTCCTTTTTTTTCCTTAAAAAAACGTCCTTGAATCTTCATTTTTCCTCATCAGTAGGAAGACAGAATTCGAATTCACTCCATGCTTTCTCTTTTTCTCTTTTCTCTTTAAACACAGGTCCGAATTTTAGTATTCGTTTCTCGTTTTCAAATTGAATTGGGATTCGAAACTTAGGACATGGATCGACGTAAAGCTGTACATAGTGTGGTTTAGAGTTACTAGTTACTTTACTTATGCGATTTGCTTTGACCGACTACCAAGATGTCGCACCATCTAACTTTGGTATGCAAAACAGAGGCAATGTGCCAGTTTTTTGATAAACGTGGCTATTCTGGCTCTGTCGTTCACGCGGGCCACCGCCGTGCCCAACAAATTGATCGACAGTCAGCACTACAATCGGCTGAGAAGGATAACACTGACTGCATTCCATTTACTCTTACATTTCGCCCTCACAACCACGCAGTTAAATCTATCATTCTTAAAAATTTTAAATTACTCCAAAACGATTCATAGACTAGCACTATCTTTTCGCAACCCCCGCTTATTTCATTCAAACGTGACAAAAACATAGGTAACTCTTTAGTCAGGAGTTCATTTCAAACCAATGACCAATCTGGAACTTTCCAATGCGCTCACTCACGATGCAAAACTTGTTCTTTCATTCATAACGTAAAGAAAATATCGGGACCCAAGAGATCCGTTAAGATCACTGATCACTTTACGTGTATCTCCGCCAGTGTTATTTACTGCATAACTTGCACTTATTGCAATAAGTTATACATCGGCGAAACAGGAAGACGACTAGGTGACCGATTCCGAGAACACCTTCGCGACTTGGAAAGAAATGACAAGGACGCATCCAAACCAGTCGCGAGACACTTAAACTTCCTATTCATTCTAAACAGCATATGGCAGTTTGCGGCCTTTCTTTACATCTAGGCAGTTCGGAAAGCCGTAAAACAATAGAAAAAAAACTTATCTTCCAAATCGGCACCATTAATCCCCACGGAATCAACGAGCGCTTTTCATTCAACTAATTTATTCCTGTTTTCTTGTCACCATATTCCCACCAATGGCGTAGCTCCACTTTCTGCATATAAACCCGCAACTCCTCCAATCGCTCTGACGAAGGGCTAGCGCTCGAAACGTAAGCTCTTTTACCCTTTACGGTGGCTAATTTACGTTTTCAACTCAGTTGTTAACATTAAATTACCTGCTATACTCTCCCACCGACGCAGCACCACAGTTTCTTTAGAATCTTACCCCTTTATTCACATGACGTAAAGAAACCAATTAGGTAGCGGTATTAACATTCCAGCTTAGTTACAGACAACTAGTCTCCTTCTCACCCGTCGTCTTGCGACTTCACCAGGGAAAACGAATGGGTTAAATGATTTCCAAAAAATTCATCGGGAAAAGCAATGACCAAGGTCAGACTGTTGGCTTAACTAAAAAATCTTTTGCCTCCTATATTTTTGACCCGGGCTTTCTCTCATATTTACAACAAAGCGACTTCTCTTTAAGACCGTTTTATGAAGACTCTTATTTCTCAAAGTTTTAAGAAATGTGACACAAGTTCACTTTTTTCGTGCAACGCCATACACGATGTAAATGAAATAGGCAAAACGAGATCCCGCCGGACAAATATCCTCGTAAAACATTTGAAAAGCAATTTGCTGGAGACTGCCGGTTTATTGCATTTTTCATTTTCAGCCATATGTCCATATGGACAGCTTTGACCACATTTTTTTTGACACTAACCTTAAGATGATGTAACTAGAACTGAATTTCACATTTTTAACCACGTCAGATAAGATTTTATTAATAACTATGGAAGGAATAAGTCATGTTAGGTCAGGTGTACAATGAGGATACAATATGATATGGTCAACGTGTGAGATACTGTGAAATGTAACGTAACCGCTACTATATAGTTTTCACGGCAAGGCCAATATTGATATTTTGAGTGTGCGCCATGCCCGATCCACTCACTGCACAAAAGTAAACTTCTTGAAAGAAAATAAAAAAGATGCGAGGAACCCTTTGTTCTGATTTCTGAAAATATCGGATCATTATGTTTAAATGAAGCGAAAAGACTTTCCGTAGCTAGACAAATCATATTCTCGTGGACATTTTAGAATTTGAGCCATAGGGGGATAAACTGAGTTCACTACCCTTCATGAACAAAAACAAATTCAAGCTTAAGACAGCAAGACTTAAGGTATGGATAGCGTGATTTGCATGACCGGAAATGTTCCAGAACAACTAAGACATCAGGAGTCGAATGCTATCAAAATTTGACACAAATAAATAAATTAGCAACTTCTGGAATAGTGGCCATATGAGCATTTTCTTAAAACTTATGTAAACATGTCTTAAGGGCCTTTAGAAATTTAGGATTTGTGAATATTGATTCCAGATCTCTTGACATCCGATGGGAAATGAAGACCTCAACGCCTTTTGCTCCCATTTTACATCTATCATCAACTTCTTAGACTTTGTGTGGTTTCCTGCATAAACCGCCTCATTACGAGCTAACATAATCTGCCACAAGCGAGATTAGTTACCCACGCGCTTCAGCCAAAAATGGGGTCTGTACGAACAAACTGTTGGAAATACAAAAAGGAGAGACAAACAAGCGCAACAACTCTTCAGAGGACTCTGTCAATCATTTACAACAGCAGGTATTAACAAAGATATGTTCTTATTCAGATTTGAGGTTATAATCTTGCTAAACACGAACGATACAATGTATTACAAGAACATTTAATTCAAGATACTCGTTAAGTGTATTTATATGTGTAGAAAAAAATAAAGTTTGCATATCTGCTCTATTAAATTATCAGGTAACAATATTATGTGTGGGTGTAAATGGTGTGTTTAGTCTTCATGTGAGGCAGACATATGAGCCTGGTTCGGTTATCGATTGCTATTTTGTTTGGTAGAAGCTCTATGCCAATGTATAAAGATTGCCTGACCAAGTTACTGAGATCTTGAGAGAGGAATGTACCAGTTTTCCACAGCCGTGAGCGAGGCCAGTACAACTGTGAATTTACGCCTATTGCAAATCGAATTTGGTTCGCCCACGCGATTCATGGGGCTTTGCCGCTCGTGCCGCACCGCAACTGATAGCTTGCTCGCAGCCATCCACATGAAAAATAATCGGGCTGAATTATCAACCCTGTAACGATAATATTTCCCTATTAACTGGAGGCAGAATTTGTCCCGATCGTCGTACTCATCTGAAGTTTCCATCGTTTTTTTAAACTCCTGAATATAGTTCGCCAAGCGACCTTTCCAAAACGCATAAGAAACAGAGTTTTTAACCATACGTGAATAATTATTAGACACTCATCAGCTAAACGTCATCACTGAATCTTCCTATTCATTCAGCACATGTTAACAAGCTGACCTTTCAGCCTAGCTGCTGTGCAGATCTATTCTAAAAAAGGACCTGTCAAATTTCATCTCCATTGGAAGCACGTTGGAGCTTTCATTTAAGTGAAATTTCACGCCCGGATTACCGAGATTTCGCTCACTTGGAGCAACAGCAAACATTTTAGGAAGTTTTGGTGAACGTTTATTGATCAATGGATTACATGATGTGTTTAGTAAAAATGAACTTGACCTACAAATCCAGTCTGGCAAGAGTTATGTTACAGCTACAGGAGACAGAATCGCAAAATAAAAACAACAGATTCGTGTTGTCGGATGAAATTTTTTTAAATTTCCTTTCAGCTGCGCTATTAGCCCATGCTTTCGACTGTGCATCTTAAGAGTTGAGATGACGTGGAAAGTTTTGAGAAATTATAAAAGGACGAGATATATTTTCCTGTGAACAAAAAAAATTAAAGCAAGTTTGGAGTAGAGCTTTCAGCACCGTTGAGAGTTTCATCACTAGTTTCAGTCTCGATTTTAGGATGTATACTCTGAGTTCAATCATTTATTCAATTTTTTGCAGATTGTTGCAGAGAGTATCGTATTCAAAAAATATGCAAAAAGATTGCAATTTTTTAAAATGAATAATGTTTCCGACGAAAGAGACAATTTTTGTTACTCTAGGCTAACATTGTAGTTAAGTAGCCTTAATGAGTAGCGCAGGATAAAGACAAAGAAAGTCCAGTCCATTCTAATAATATTTTAGTGAAGACTTTATATTTTAGAATTCGTGTAGGTTTACCTGCTGCTAAAGAGTTAAATGAAATGAACAGTCGGAAGCAATGCTGCGTCAGTATTATCTTTAAAGTTTGTCTACATCAAGAACCTTCCATTCCATTTCAAACAAAGAGAGCAAATTGAGCTCCTCTCTTTTCTGGAACAACAGGTGGCAAACGTATTTGGTGTAACGTTTATCAAGCGCACGCTTCCCTGAGGTCCCCCCTCTCAAAAACAATTAGCGAGATGTATAAGTTGGTTTCTTGCCATCCCGAGCAGATCTTTCATCCTAACCGCTAGACCCCTTGAGCCATGTCATTATCGGATCATTATAACTCTGAGCTGAAGGTCAGACAGCATACACTGCTCACTTTTTTCTCATGGTTATGTCAGGTATT